TAGTATCTATGAAAATAAGGAAGGCATCAGTCCATTCTTCAATCTATCACCCCTCCCCCCCCCCCCGAACCTTTTGGTCAAGTTTCTAAGTAGCCCTCCTCTGTCAGTACTATTTGTGTCCTTTGCAAATGAAATAAATTCAGATTTCAAAAGCGAAGCCAAATTTTCGTATTTTCCTGACCAAATATTTTCTTTTATATATGGGAATATAGGCACTCATCCAATCATTAATTGTACGCACTAAATGAGATTGTGAGATTGAGAGTTAGCAGACGACTGAGGAGTGTGCAATGTGTTTAGATTCGAACACCCAGATTTTGGGACTGAAATTCAATCGGTACTGCAGGGGAGCTATCATTATGAGAAGGTACATTATATGCCGATCAATACCGTCATGCAGTTCCTTGCTAGAAGGAATGAACTGAGCGCCCGACAATAAAACGTGCATTCCTGAATTAAAATCGTATAGTAAAAAGACCCACTTCGACTTCGCAAAGTAGTATGATTATAACTCATAGGGCGTGCAATATCACGCGATATCCACAAGTAACCGTTATCCACTTTGTCAAATAAAGAGTTATTTTCATCTAGCTAGCGCTACAGATAACTCAATATATAAAAACAGCAAATTTAGATACAAAACAAATTACAGATGAACATTATTGACTAAGACAATGTCGATAAGCTTAAATATTAACAACCATTGAATCGTTCATTAACACAAAGAAATAACGACACGTTCGCCAAAAATTAAACGGTATATATATTACACAAGAGAAGATAAATCTACTACATTGTTTTCATAATATAGGGAAAATTGTGTTACTTTTGTTTTAACTGTATTTGCTTTTTTATCAAGTATGTGTATCCATGCAAGATTTATAACCATAAACATCTATAGTTCAAATCGCACAATTATTTGAAAATAAATAAAGTATATCAACATATACTAGTATATCGGCGATTATTTAGAGATTAATCAACTTTTATTGTATATTGAATATTGTATTTGTAATTGTATTCCTGTATATCATTTAACTTCATATAATAAACCGACAATCCATTCATACTTGATGAATTCAAAACAAAACAAAAAGTATATTAATTAATGCGGATGTTACGAACCTAAACGTGAAATTTCAATACAGTAGTGGGAAGACATTTGGGCAGTGACAGACGAGACAATGAAGATCCAAGTTCACTATGTGTTTTTACTTTTGGCTTTATACATTTGCGGTGAGTTAAAGTGTTATTATGTTCACACTTTATTATAATGGAAATGTAGCAATATTTTGTTAACAAAGAATTATTTTATTTGGCTTGTTGCATGAGTAGAGTAAATCAATAAAAAAGAACGTGTCGTCTTTTCCTAAAAAAAGAGTTGTACGTAGCAGCATCGTTGTGGTTAAATGCATGTACTCATAGATGTTCAACAAGTCGGTTAAAGCGTAAATATCATTAAGACTATAAAAGCCACGTGGCGTTTCCCTCTTTATTGTTTTTGAAAGAAGAAATCAAATGCAGCTTCGTGCATTATTTAGCTGTTAAGGGCACAAATGTGCACCTAAGGAGACAAATACTTTTAAGCAAAGAAATATTTTTCACATGAAAAAATCCATAGCCCTGGTGGGATTCAAAACATCATAGGCAGGGCATTTATGCAATTTGTGATGATTAAAGGTACCATCTTATTGTTAATAATTGTAATAATTTTTTTACAAGTAATCTCAGTCACTGAAACGTGTACTTCAACGTTATTTGGCTGTTTTCTTGTTTCTCATTACATTGAATTTGCAACAATATCTTTATCTGTGTTACACTTTGGAATGTAAATTGATCGGCAAAATTGATGCTGTATATAACCTAGCTACAAAAATGCTTTTGCAAACAGGCATTATTTCTTTTAACTATATATATATATATATATATATATATATATATATATATATATATATATATATATATATATATATATATGTATATATATATATATATAATCCAAAATGTAAAGTTTAAAACAATACGGATAAAAATAGCAGGAAAAAAAGAATGAAGTGATGCCTTTTCCAGTTTACATTGCAATTGTTTATTAACAAAACAGTAATAAATAATTGAAGAGAAATATCAACCGGTTTCACTCGTTAAAGGGATCTTCAAGATAATGACGTTAATAACGTCGCTTGGTTACGACGTCAAAACAGTGTAAAGGGACGTTACTCTTATAACGTTTTAAATCTTTATGAAGGTTATTCAGTAGAATGTTAAAGCAATTCAATTCGTGCTTAGATTTAGGCCATAAAATAAACACATCGTCTAGAAAGCGTTTCCAGTAATTGATGATATAAATTTTAAATTCGGTATTATAAATTTCTGCAATTTTGGGATAAAGCAGTTCTGTCAATTTGATAAAGGATTTGTACTTATAATATGAATTTAAAATGTATTGGTATTTCTCTGATCTGATGTCAAATCAAGCTGAATAATTGCTTTAACATTCTACTGAATAACCTTCATAAAGATTTAAAATTCACAATGGAAAACAGTATAGAGAAATTGCCGTTTCTGGATGTTTTAGTTAAATTAAAAGGCGTGACCAAATAGAAACAGATATCTTACTATAAACCTACTGACAGTAAACAATATCTTTTATTCAACTCTTGTCATCCAAAACACACAAACAAAACAATCCCATTCTCACTAGCTAGACGACTTTGTACAATTATATCAAATAGAGACGTATTACATCTCAGATTAAATGAATTAAACAAATTCCTGGCTTCTTTAAAATATCCTCAGAAACTTAAGAGCTTAGCAATAGAACAATCCGAACTACGGAAGACAAAACTAAAGACGGACGAGAAAGTCATACCCATACGTGTCAACACATAATCCAAGGAATTACCGAATTTTTCACAGTAATACATGAAAATCTACCAATTTTACAAAAAGATGAAATAATGAAAGGAATATTGACAGAAGCCATATAATAAAGTAAAAGACAAAACCGGCTAATCTTGAAAAAACTTTTGACCAGGGCACGATTTTCTTCAAACACACTGAGAAAGAAATAAAATAAAAAGATGCAGCAGTTTAAAATGCGGCCTGTGCAAACACATGATAGAAGGAAATACATACCATTTTAAGAATGGCCGCGAATTTAAAGTAAAAATTCTCAGGATCATGCGACATTAGAAATGTAATTTAATGCATTGAAATGTTAATGGTTTTTCCAAAGATTATATTGGAAAAAACTTCAATTTAAAGAAATCGAGGTAACATTACACAACAACAATATACGAAATCCAGACAATGCATTAATTACCAGTCAGTCGACACATTGCCATTTGCGCAAAAGGACATTACTCCAAAGTTTAATATAATGCCAATCTATAAAATGCGAGAACCAGACACATTCAAAAGAAGAATGAAGAAAACTGTTTTAAAAAACGTTCTTTAAACCCATGAAATTCAAAAATAAACTTTGATATATTATATAAACATATAATATTATAGCTTATTATTATGTCCCCTTTAAAAACCGTTTATAAAGTATAACGTCCCTTTACACTGTTTTGAGGTCGTAACCCAAGCGACCGTTATTAACTCATTATCTTGAAGATCCCTTTAAAGATGGTGAAACCGGTTTTGATATTTCTCTTCAATTATTTTACTGTTTTTTAATAAAAATTTGCAATGTAAACTGGAAAAAGGCAACCTTATTCTCTTTTTTTCCCGCTATATATATATATTATATAATATATATATATATATATTTTATTCCAAACAGATCTATTAAAATTTTACTTTCCCAGTGGCGATAATCTATAACTTTATGTCAACCATAACAAATGCAATTGTATAATTGTAATGCCTGCAACTTGATATGGATCAAAAATGTAGATATTATTACCATGATCTTTTTCTCCCCCAATTTTTCTTTAATTGAAAAAATTATCGTCTTGTCGTGTCATAATTTTCTTTCGTTTGGGGCATTTTTTGAAATATGGTTTCAAAAAGAAAAAGAAATAAAAAACTTAAAATTTTTCGAAAAACACAAAATTTTCCCGCAAAAAAACCCCATGAAAAATCCCCTTTTTGTAGCACAAAAAAACGTTTAAAGGGTTTGTTTTAAATTTTCCCAAAAAAATCTCTTTAAAATTTTTTAAATAAAGTTATCATTCTTTAATTTTGAAAAGGATTTTATTTTATAATTTTGAATTTAAAATGAAATTTGGTTATTTCTCTGATTTTGTTTGTCAAATCAAGCTGAATTTTGTTTTTCTTTTATTTCAATATGCCCAACCCCGCATGTCCAAGTGGTAACTGGGGACCAAAACGGGAAAGGGAAATTGTTGGGTAGTTTGGTGCAACTTTTGTCATGAAAAAACGGGTTTTTAATGGGGGATTTTTTAAAAACCGGTTTTTGGGGGGAAACTACTGTAATAAGGTTTGTCCAGAACTACTGTAGCTCCTTCTGCAAAATATGTGACAAATTTTATCAGGGGGTGTGAGACCATTGTTTAAAAAAACGGATAACTGGAAAATATCTATCTCATGTGACGGAAAGATGTTCTGCGTCGATTGCTGGATATTTTGAGTAATCACATCAGGAGAAATGTCAGACTTGTAAATTCCGGCATTTTGGGGAGAAAACTGTCAAAAAACTTGTGGAAAGTGTAAATCAGATAAGTGCAGTAAAATTGATGGACGATGCACATCATGTAAATCTGGATATGCTGGTCAAAACTGTACTATACATTGTAGTGTTGATAATTGCAGCTGGCACTCATGTACTATAAATTATTGGTGTCGTGCATGTAAATCTGGACACTGGGGAAAATTTTGTGAACATAAATGCAGTCAAAATTGCTCATCAAGCTGTGAAAAACGCAATGGAAATTGTAGCAGCTGTACATCCGGCCTCTGGGGAGATAATTGTGAAACAAATGTACAACTGTTCCTCTTCAAAATGTATGAGATTAAACGGACAATGAATGTAGTTTTTGCAAGACTGGACTTTGGGGTGTACTTTGTAATGAAACCTGTAGCCATGCTTATTTGCACTTGGACTGTAATATGAACGATAGAAAGTGCAGCAGCTGCAAGAGTGGACTTTGGGGCGAATTTTGTCAGAAAACTTGCGGTCTATGTTGTTCATATTCAACGTGTAGAAAAAGTGACGGATATTGTAGTTCCTGCAAAAGCGGTTCTTGGGGTGACATTTGTAACAAGGCATGCAGCCAAAATTGTTCAAGCTGTAGTAAGAAAACTGGTTTATGCATTGCATGCAATCCTGGATTGTGGGGATCATCACGCGTAAATGAATGTAATCAGTCATGTGTCTCTTCTGAATGTGATACTGTGTCCGGCGAATGTAAGAACTGTAATTTATAGATGGGGAAAGTTTTGTGAAAATATATGCAACACGTCTTGTTCTTGGGGTTGTCACAAACAAACTGGACATTGCTTAATTTGTGGAAACAGATATTGGGGTCAGGATTGCTCCAACATGTGCAACAACTCAAGATGTGATCAATGCTCTATAACGAATGGACTATGTACATTGTGTCAATCTAGATTTTGGGGTGAAGACTCTCAGTCTACATGTAAGTCTGATAAATGTCTTCAATGCTACAGAGACACTGGTTATTGCAGTACATGTCAGCCAGGTCGATGGGATAAATTTGTAAAAACTTATCAGGGATGTTAAATGTTGAAAACCTCAGAACGGAAATTTTGGGACTTTATCATTTTCCAGGTTTTCAGGTTGGGAAAAAAATTTTATTTTTTTCTTTATTAATGATGTTTTCTTTGAAATTGCCAATCACCATTATTTTTCTTTTGCCATAAATCCTACTTTATATATTGTCACTGTATAATGTAAAATTTATGTATTCCGTCATTTTTTTTTCTTGTTATCCAATTTGTTTAATTTCTTCTATTAAAGTTTTGGAAAAAAATTCACAAACATTTATGGTCATTTAGATATTTCAGATTCTGGCAAATCAGGACAAGATGAAAACACAAGCTGTCACAATCATTGTCCATTGACGCGTCATCCTGCATTGTTATTATTGCTGTTTGCGTTTGGAATTAAATTGATACTATAAAGACACCAATCATGTAATATAGTTATTTTTCTTTCATCCGCTTGAACATAATAGATTGTCTGAAGTATTGAGGGCATCGCGCTCTGACATATCATTATATTATGCAGTCCAAGATATTATGTTTCCATAATAAAATGCTCTTCCAATATAGATATAAACTTTACACTAACGCAAATATGACCTTTTTAAAAGATGAAACGATTTTGTTTGATAAGACGTTGAACCGTTCATGTTTATAAAGGTGTCAAGTAAAATTTCTGATCAATATTTAATCATAAAGACATGTGTGGTTATGTTGCGTCAATAAAATGACGATAAGCAAATAAATTAACCAAAATGATTCATGCATGTTAAAACATTGTAATGATATTTCAAAGCAGAAAAAAGTTGCATCTATTTGTTAAATTTCATAATCATAATATTCTTACATGTTAATAACAAATTCGTTATTTTATACTGTAGATTAAAACGAAGGAAAATTTACGAAGGAACAAGACGGAGTAAAAAGTAAAATAGTTATGCTGCTAAAAATATGCTTAGTGGTGATATATTGTTATATTATTCTTATTTTTCGGAATAAATGATGAGATCGTCGGTAGTGTTGAATATCGAACACCGCTTTAAGCAGGCGCTAGTGGCGTGAAGGATATTCCCTTTTTTACAATGTCTCTCAAAAACAAACTTATTCAACCCAAGTCTGAAATGTTCATATCATATGATGATTAACTAATTCTGAACGAACGGTCCCTCCTTTTTCGCTAAATTAATCAAGAGATTGTCATATGCAATCAAGTAACAAAATCCTGAAAATTCTGTTTTTTTATGCTGAGGTAAATATTTTTATTCTTAAAAATAAAATTGACATAAAGACAGTTTTTTCTTGATACAAGTTATGATTATATTAGAAAGTTTAAATACAAACAGCTCTTAATGGCAATGACTTTATATGTACCTACTTGAATTATATCAGTAGAAAATATAATTCACAAAATATTTTGTTTGATCGCTATACATATGTTCATTTATATTTTGATTTTAATGTTTGTTTGTTTGGGGTTTTTGTTTGTTTGTAATTTTCCCTCATTTTATTTTGGTTTTTAAAGGTTCTAAGGCTTCAACAGAAATGGGCAACTATCCATCCACATCAACAATGACACGAGATCCAATGTACATTAGTGTTACTGAATATAATCTAAGTGAACTACTATCCACTGATTCAGGCCTAAGTGAACTACCATCAGATCATGTCTATGAACGATAAAGGCATTGAAGGGTTTGAGTACCTATTTGTCAAATATTGGTCTAGACATTGTTACAATTTTTCATCAGGCTTCTTAAAATGTTGATGGTCAAAGATTATACAAATGTTATTGTTTTTAATAAAAGTGTTTCTGTTCAATCGCTTGTTACCTTCGTTTTGTACAAGCTATGTAAAATAGTTTGAAAACGTTACAATCTATTGATTAGAATAATGATATTCTTTTGAATGTATTTGTCAATTCCTACATTGTCACATGGTATGAATTAGATATTCATAGTTTTATGTATATTGTCTTTTACTTTATAACCGGCTTTACAAAGCCATTTTTACTTGGCATTCAATTCTAACAAACTGTTTCAAACGAATTCGTAGTACTTTCAAATTGCTTTTTTAGACTGAAATTAAACATGTCATTCAAACATTATCAGAAGGCTTGATCAAACAGGTAGATAACAGACACGAGTTAGCACTTTTACAAGTACATTACAACGTTACATTTTGTGGTCTGCTTGCAGCATTAAACAATACAAAAGTTTAATTGGAATAACATTACAGCATGCTTATTCTGGTAAATAACATAAATGTTTAAAAATTCTTTCTGCAAAAATAATTGTTTTCTGTTGTTATAGGGTTTTTTTTTTTTTTTTTTTTTTTTTTTTTTTTTTTCCCTTGTTTATTTGGCTTTGTACATTTGTTGTTGTGTTTTGTTGTTGTGTTTTTTTTTCGTTTTGATTATTATTGTTGTTGTTGTTGTTTTCTGTTTTAACACAGATCACAAAATATCACGCGGTAAAAGCACCGTGTATATGTGACTAATGGTTTTGTAAGTAAAGTGTGTGAACTGAAACCTCCTTTCATTGTGTTTGCCATTATTTCAAAGGAACATCATTGGGATCAAAAGGCCTACAATATAAAGTTTGAGATTCTCACATGTATCAAGTGAAGCACTAAAATAGAAGGATCTGAAAAGGGTTATTAAATATTTACTGATTATATATGGATGATCGCCATAATTTGCACTTTTCAATTTGAACAACATGTGCTTGTTTTCGCCAAAAAAGTAAAAAAAAGGATTTATTTAAACTCAGCGTTTTTATCATGTCTTTTCTTTTGCATTTTATGTACATGTACCACCATACTAACAATATGGCACCATTCAAGTTAACTTTGTCATCTCACAAACAGGACAGTTCAGATTTACTCTTCTATTTAGTACTAGTACATGACATACTTTAAGCTCACAAATATGCTGATAGGGATTGGTGCAAACTACCGTTTTAACATATTTTTTGATTTGCATGTATTCTGGTTCTTTAAAGTTCAAACTTACACATTCTGGATTAAATTGTAATTCAACTGTGCTAGATAATGACCAGCTGTATTGCTAATTAAGAATCGTGGCAGAGTATATAGCTGTCCTTTTGACTGCCTTGTTTGGATTGTATATAGTTTGATTTGTGTGGCTTATTTATTTAATATTATAAACTTTATGTAATATTTTTATCATTGATGATTTTTCTACTTTTTGAAAAAAAAAGCCATCAATAGAAGTCGCATAAATAGATTTTGTGCAGATGTGAAACCTTATAAATGAACTGTATAAATAAGAAACGCGAGAATCTTTTTAAGTTTTGAGCTTTCATTTCTTAAAGTTTAATTTTCCATATACCTACAGGTGATTTCAAACATGGTTTACCGCGGACAAAAATTTGTTCAGATATTGTCCGCGTGACCCCGCGGACAGAAAATTTCCACCACCGCGGACATAAATCGGCGGCTGAAACCGTTTCCCCCGCGGAACGCAAGTGGTTAAATTGCGGAGGATCGCGGCGGTCAAAAACCGGTCACGCGGTGGAAAAAACCTTTTAATTTTAAAAATTAATTACTGTATTTAAACATCAGTATACGTACGTTCTGTAACATGTATTGTACATATAACTATATTTAAAATTTGTTTGTTGTTTTTTCTTTTTTTGTTGTAATAAAATTACATGTACAAATGCAGTGTATTTCTTGTTCTTCTTGTTGTTATTGTGTTGGTAATGCTATAATATGTATCGACATCAAGATAAATTATTGTCGTCGCAAACTTCATGGTAGTGAGAAACTTGAAAAGTCAAAATAATGAAAAATTCGGCATATGACATTATGAAAAAGATACTGCAACAATTTATATGCCAGCTTTTGTTTCTTATTTAAAAACTTTGAAAAATGTAATCCTGCCAACAATTTATTCAGGCAATATTCTCAGGACGTCCTCTTTCATATTTGTCAGATGCCGTTTTATGTTTTGTTTATTTGCATGTTGACATAAAGTCTTATATTTATTTGGAAACATTAAAAAGAAAGCGTTTAATTTCACCAAAATATACATTAAATGGATATTTTTTCTTGATTTATCTATTACATTGTGAGCGTAATGTATATGTTTTGAAGTTGTATCAACTGTTGAAGTTATTTTTCATTTTTGTTTTAGTATTAGTTTGTTTGTTTTTCTTTTATGTTAATAGATTTTTTTGCAGAATGTTGTTAAAACTTGACGTTAATACTTTTTGTTATTTTATTAATGAACAGTATGCATGTACATACATGGTTATAAGGCAAACAAGCACATGGCAGTTATTTTTTAAGACTTCCATCGACCGATTTTCAAGTTGAAAATATTTCATTTTATTTTCATCTTAAGATATTATTGTTCATAGGAATAAATAGTATTTGTAGACAACATGTAGTTTTAAGTACATACAATTGAATATTATTAAAAAAAAAAAAAAAAAAAATAATGTACAGCTTTAATTTTATTTTATTTCAAATTCCGTTCAAATAATTTAACGTATAATAACATTTAAGGAGACGAAATTGTGGTCAATTTTCAAGTCATTGTGTAAAAAAAGATGACGTTAAAATAATAAAACGCTATTATTTTTTGGAGGGTTAATTTATTACTGACCAAAAACTGACCCCATGGCGTGTTCCCCGCTGGAACGGGTGATACTGTAATTTATCGATGAATGGAAAACGGTCGTTCAGAATTTTGTCGGCGGTGGAAACAAAATCTGAGTAACACCCTCCGGGGATCGCGGGGAAATTAGGCTTCTCCATCGCGACGAACCCCCGCGGGTTTTGTCCGCGATAAATTTAAATCGTTCCGCCGGTGGTATCGCGGAAAAAGCAAAACCCGCGGTGAGCGTACTGTATTATAGTTTTAAAATGATTTCCTGCGAACGTTAAATGTAAATTGATAGGTTCTATTTATTGTTGCATCAGCGATCCAAAGAATGCGTTTTCTAAGAGTGTTTTGATATAAGTCAATTGTAATTCCATTTGTTGTATATGACTTGAATATGATTTCGTACAAAACAAATGATTGCTTAAATACTGTTAACAATCCCGTTCGTCGTAGATAAAACAAAATGACTATTTCGATTTTAAAAAAAATATGAAAACTATTTGTCAGTTTTATTTTTGCAAACTTAAGTTTAATTCATTATGTATAATATCATTTGGTCCTTTCTAAACTATGTTTTATACCTTATAAAATATATTGTAAACATTTTTTAAGCTTAATTTAATTTATACGGTATGGCTTGCAACAATGCTAGAAATAAAAACGGTAAAGAAATATGTCAATAAATAACTGAATAATTGTGAATGCATGGTATATGTACAATTAGTCAGTAGAGAAAAATCTTAAACAACATTTACTGGTTAAAACGGACACTGATTTTTTTTTTTTTTGTTATATCTGTAGTATTTCATCAGGAGTAGAGTGTAGAAAACTGCTGTAAACTGGTACTCAAAAAGGGACATAAAGATCAAAAAAATAGTTAAAATAATGAGCTGTTAATATGATTTTAGTTCTTGTGATTTAGCTGTTTACTTATGAAATTATGATTGTATGCAATTTTAACAATATAATAAATTGAAGCATAATGACAAAATGGTGTATTGTTTGTGTTTGTTCGTTTGTCAATAAAGATGTACTATAGTATTATAGTGTTTATATTCGAGGGATTTTGTCGTATTTATAATGTCTTTTTAAATAGTTAATTGATGTTATGAATTTTGCTTATAATCGCAAAGTTATTTTCTCTGTGTAAAATGTAGGGTTTTCCTAATGAGAAACGTTGTTTGTTTGTCCGATATTTACGGTAATGTAATAGTTATGAATACAATCTATATAACAAGCCATTAATATTGACCTATTAACATCGGTGGATAGGACGTTTGAACCTTCTGAAGTTCTGATGTATAAACGACCTGCAGATTTCTAAACTTAGATTGGTACTTTTAGTCTATTATTAGGGAGTTTCGAAATTGTTGTCTCGAACAACACTATTTCAAATCACAAGAACATTGATATGTTTAGAATGTTCCTAATATATTCCAATAACACTTCATGTATCAAGTTATACAATTTTGTTAGGTACGGAAATATTCTTATAGTATTTCATGTGTTGATACAGATTATTAATTTATCACATGACGACCAATTTAATAACCGATACTCACAAAATAACCATTTTTTGATTTGGTTTACGTCGCACCAACACAGTTGTCATATCGCAACTTTTCAGTTTTATTGGTGAAGGAAAACATCAGGTGCCCTTCCGTGCATTATGTCAGGCACGAGCGGCCCACCTAATGAGATCTATCGATGTTTCATAAGCTATATAGCTATATGGATAGTTTCCTCATATGAAATAATCCCAAGTCCCTTACTGGATTCGAATCCACAATAGCGAGGGACAAGTGGTTTAAAGACAACGTCCTTAACAACTAGGCCGCGGTTGCCCACACAAAATAACCCACGTACCTCTTAAAATTATACACTTCAAGTGACACGTCAACCAAATGATGGTTTTTCATTTTTTAATCTTTTTTACGATCCATTATATTACGTTGTGAAAATATTTTACATTGTTTAAATTTTATTTTTAAGTCATTTTTTGAATGACTTTAACATTTTTAAATTTTTACAAAATTTCCCCAAGGCTTGTTTTCTACAAAATTTTTATTTTTTTTTTTCATTATCAGGGGAAATTTTAAAACCCCTTATTTTAGGACCATTTTTACGTTTTTATTATAAGAACTAAGAACAATTTTAGGAAATTTCAAAAAAAAATTTAAATAAATGCTTGTCTTGAAATGATAAAAGATATATTTTAACTTTTTTTTCAAAGACATGGTTTTATTTTACTTTAATATTTTTAAGACATGATATTCATTTAAGAAGATTGTGCTAAAATATGTGAAACATTTGTATGCAATAATTATATCTTCTGACAATCTGTTTTGTGAACGTTGAAATATTCACAGTTGATCATTGAAGATAATGGAAAACTGCAAATATTATATTTTATTACAGAGAACATAACTTTTTAACACTCTTTGTGTGATATTAAATGTGGATGATTGTTTCACAATTTTTTATTTTTATTTCCCGTACCAATATTATATAGAGGATATTTGTTTGTTTGTGTGTAAGATGAAATTTTATTTCATCGAGTGAGCTTTAAAAACAGTATTCTCACTCGTGGCTACGCCACTCGTGAGAATACTGTTTTTTTAGTTCACGAGATGAAATAAAATTACATCTTACAAAACAAACAGACAAATTTTCTTTTTATTTTATGCTTAAAAACAAGTTAAAGTTTTTATTAAAAAAATATGATGATCGCTTGTTTTAATAATAAAAACAAACAATTCTTGCAGGAGAAAATTCCAGCCATCCATCCATATTTCTGTTACTTACTGCGAATTTATATTAGACCTGGCTTTCTAAAATGTAAACGGCAGCCATTTTTTAAAGTTGTGTATTTCATGGGAGGAAAATAATTGTGTAAGATTCAGAAGGATATAATTTGGATTTGTTTAGTCATACACCTTTTTAAAAGAAAGAAAAACTTATTTGAGGATTGTAACAGACAAAAAAATAAGTGTTGACAAAGAAGTGAAAACATTCAGAAAAGGAGCTAGGAAAATGGAAAAAACTTGGAAGCTTGCTGAAGGAACGCTGGGTTGTTTTACTTATATTTACGAGTGATGGCTGTCAATGCTTTGCAATTTTTCATAAAGCATACGGCAGTTATTGCTCGTAGGATACTTTAATATCCCCAAATGTCATCAAGAGCAGTTTTGCATGGGGAAGGAATGTATTTTCAGACTGTAAAAAAACTAAAAACAAAAAAATTTAGAGACGTAATTTGGTGATTGGAATTTGAAGGAATAGAATTAAGTTTTCTCTCTGTGTTACTTTTGACATTTAAGTTATTTATCTATTTCAGCTTTGCTATTTCTTTTAACAGCCTGACATTGTCAGAATTGTCCGTAAAAATTAAATTGAGGTACCACATGGGGAAAATCTTAAAAAAGTAGTTTCGTCATTGAAAAAGGTGAAATTATATTTTGATAATTTTCACTGTGAAATTATCAAATATAATTTTCACGGATAAATCAGTAATCCACTGAAACGCATAAAATAAAAATAATTATATTTATTATGTGTAAGTGTTTTCATTATCTCCCTGATGATATTGTGAAACCGGTAGAGGGAAAATTCAATTCAATAAATTAATCAAAGGTTTGTTATTTAGATTTTTGATTGTTTAATTTTAGGAGTTTGTAACACCCCACTTTAGTCAAAATTATCTGTCCTGTTTCGGCGCCATATGACCTGTAATGAAACTTTACGAAACTGACGAACTATTATTAATTTTAAATATGTACTTTTGATTGTCAAACAATGCTGAAAATGGTAGTTTTTAATTTAAAGCATTCAAATAAAAATATGACCAATTTAACAGACTGAATTTGATGATACATGTAATAGCTTTATGTACAAAACGCGTTGAATAAGTCTGGAATCTGACTTATCGTGATTCTCCTATGTCTTTAGCTTATAAAAGGCCTTTGTATCGGATTACAACTACAGTACGTTGTTAATGACACTCCATCAAACTTGTATATATACAAGTAGACATTACATTATCACTTTAAGATAGAATAAATTTAGTGGCCAGCAGTTCCTGAAAGCAATATAGTTCATTTTGGAAAACCTTTGACAGAAATCAATGATTTTTCATGATGTTTGATTCAGAATTACATGTGCGTCATTAATGTATGTTTAAACCTATATAATTAGAATAACTCTGAGAACAAAATAAAAATTTAAAAGGATTAAATATCTGTATATAATAAGCTCAATCACAGAGAAATAATTGATTAAGGAACGTCTAATATTTTATCATATAATGCTTGATGTACATCTGATTACAATCCAGTTATTTCTTTTATGTCTGCTTTAAACATAATGTAAAGCCTCAAAGATTTTAACCATAAAACTTATCTATAGTTCAAATCGCACACTTATTGGAAAAATACATATATAAACATAATTACACTAGTATATTGGCGATTATTTAGAGATTAATCAACGTTTAAGAATATTGTATTTGTAAATGTATTCCTGTATATCATCTAATTTCCGATAATAAAACGTTATTCCAATCATATCAATACTTGATTAATTAAAAAAAAGTTCATTAAACAATGCTGAAGTTTAGAACCTGAAACGTGAAATTTCAATACAGTAGTGGGAAGACATTTGGGTTGTGACAGACGCAACGATGAAGATACAAGTGCGCTATATGTTCTTACTTTTGGCTTTATACATTTGCGGTGAGTTAAAGTGTAATTCTGTTGATACTTTATTATAATGGTAATGTAGCAATACTTTTCTTTTCAAAGAATTATTTTATAAGGCTTGCTGCATAAGTGGAGTAAATATAACGTGTGGTCTATTTCTAAAAAGGAGTTTTACGTAGCAGCATCGTTGTGGTTAAATACATGTACTTGTATATGTTTCAACAAAGAAAAAGATTATTAAGACTTTTAAAGGGCAACGGGGCGGCTCCCCTTTTTTGGGTTTTTAAAAAATTTCTAAGTAGACCAATCCCTTTTAAAAAAACAACGAAAATTTTTTCCCACATAAAGAAATCTGGCCCTGAGGGTTTTTTAAAAATTTTTCATGGGCAGGGCAATGGTGCAATGTTTAATGTTTTAAATACCCTAAAATTTTTAAATACTTCAGATTTTATAAAAAATCCAAAAAAAACATTTTTTAAAAGGGAAATTTTTAAAAATTTTAATTTACATCTTGTTTCCCTTTTTTCTCCCCCCCCCCTTTATGTGTTTCACACATTGGTTATTGTTTCACCATTTTTAAATTAATGTTTTCCCTTATTTTTGGATTAAAATTTAAAGAACCCATTTTAAGGGTTGTTTTAAAACCCCCAATGGACCATTTTCTTCACACAGAAGTCGGTTAGTGCCGTGCCGTTTTCATTTTTGTGTTATGTTTTGCTGGTCCTTAGGGATCATTGATTTTATTTATGTGTTAATAATTGTGTACCACTCGAGCAAGTACTGGGGGTTTGGTTCTTAAGGAATTAAGCACTTTTTCATTATGCCTCAAATACAAACTCAATCAAACCAAGTCTGCAATTTTCGTGCAACTATGTTGGCATAAATGCTTCCTAGAGATCACTCCTCTTTTTATTGTTTTTATCTGAAGTATTGATAGAATCTATTGCCCGATTAGTGTATGGAAACATTTACCATTTGCTTGTTTATATCTCTAGCTTACAACTTAGGTGGGGTTAATAGATAGGGCCCATTCAATATATGTCAATGAAATAAGGCGTTGTTAGGATTCTCATGAAAACTCTTTTGATGTTTTTGTCATTTTTGCCCTAAAATACTGAGAAATATGACTTTACTTATATTCCCAAAAATGATAAATTTCATTCAATAATTTGAATAATTATTTTACAAGTAATCTCAGTCACTAATACTGGTACTTCGATATTAATTAGCAGTTTTCCAGTTTCTTTTTACATTGACTTTGCAACAATATCTTTATCTGTGTTTAACTTTGGAATGTAAATTGATCGAAAAAATTATGCTACGTATATCATAGCTACAAACATTATTTTGCAAACAGGCTTTGTTTTATTTCATTTAATTATACATAAATTCTATTAACACCGATTCTTTTAATATTATTATTGTTGTTTTTTTCCTATTTTTATTATAATTATTTTTATTATTATTATTACTATTATTATTATTATAATTATTTTTATTAGTATTATAAGATAAATATAAATAAAGTATAAAACCTGATTTTTCAGAAATAATATACATAAACACTGAAATAAACTATTTTATTGTATGTAAACAAATTGAAGTTATTTATCAATTTACGAAACTTGCGAACACAATATAACTTACCAAACATGATCTATTAAATGCTTATCAGTGTCGTAAAATCTTTTAGTTTTACGTCAACCATAACAAATAAGATTGATAAAGCAGCATTTCCTATTGTTTGCAATCTTGATATGGATCAAATATATCTTTTAAATTTTCGGTAACAAATTGTAATTCGCATTAAACCCGACATTTAATTTTTGTAGCACATAAAACGTTTCAATATACGATGCCTTTATTAATTTTTAAATCAAAGTGTAATACTGTTAATTAATTTAATTAATGATTTGCAATTATAACATGAATTTAAATATATTGGTATTGGTCTGATCAAACTGAATATTTGATTTCGTTTAGTTAAATATGCTGACAGCGCATGTCTAAATGGTTACTGGGGAACTGACTGTAAGGAAGTGTGTGAGGTAAATTGCAATCGGTGTGATGAGTCAACTGGTGTATGCGGTTCTTGTAGAACCGGCTTTTGGGGTGACTACTGTAATAGAAAATGTCCAGAAAACTGTAGCTCTTCTTCATGCAGTAAATATGACGGAAGTTGTTACTCATGTTCTGACGGTTGGTATGGGTCAACGTGCAACAATGCGTGTAATATAAATTGCAGGAACTGTCATAAAACGACTGGCGAATGCACAATATGTCATATTGGAAGGTGGGGAGAATTCTGTAACTTCACATGCGCTCCAAACTGCAAAATATGTGACAAATTAGCAGGTGAGTGTAAGACATATAAAAACGGATACTGGAATATTTCTTGTGACGAAAGATGTTCTGCTTCGAATTGTGATATTTGTAGTATCACATCAGGAGAATGTCAGGCTTGTAAATCCGGACTTTGGGAAGAAAACTGTCAGAAAATTTGTGGCAAGTGTAAGTCAGATAAGTGCAGTAAAATTGATGGACGATGTACATCATGTCAATCAGGATTTGCTGGGCTTAACTGCTCAATACCTTGTAATGCTAATAATTGCAGTTCGTCCTCGTGTAGTGTAAATTATAGGTGCTATGCATGTCAGTCTGGATACTGGGGGACCTTTTGTGAACATAAATGCAGTAAATATTGTTCATCAAGCTGTGATAAAAGCAGTGGAAATTGTAGCAGCTGTACTTCCGGTCTCTGGGGAGCTAATTGTGACAACAATTGTATGTACAACTGTTCCTCTTCAAGCTGTATTAGATTAAACGGACAATGTAGTAGTTGCAAATCTGGACTTTGGGGCGAATTTTGCCAGAATACTTGCAGTCAAGGATGTTCATATTCAACGTGTAGAAAAAGTGATGGATATTGCAGTGCTTGCAAAAACAAATATTGGGGAGACAATTGTAACAAGATATGCAGCAAAAGTTGCTCATCAAGCTGTGATAAAAGCAATGGTAATTGTAGCAGCTGCATTTCCGGTCTCTGGGGAGCTAATTGTGACAACAATTGTATGTACAACTGTTCCTCGTCAAGCTGTATTAGATTAAACGGACAATGTAGTAGTTGCAAATCTGGACTTTGGGGCGAATTTTGCCAGAATACCTGCAGTCAAGGCTGTTCATATTCAACGTGTAGAAAAAGTGATGGATATTGCAGTGCTTGCCAGAGCAAATATTGGGGAGACAATTGTAATAAGATATGCAGCAAAAGTTGCTCATCAAGCTGTGATAAAAGCAATGGAATTTGTAGCAGCTGCACTTCCGGTCTCTGGGGAGCTAATTGTGACAACAAATGCATGTACAATTGTTCCTCTTCAGGCTGTATCAGATTAAACGGACAATGTAGCAGTTGCACAAATGGACTTTGGGGCGAATTTTGCCAGAATAATTGCGGTCAAGGTTGCTCTTATTCAACGTGTAGAAAAGGTGATGGATATTGCAATTTTTGCAAAAGCAGATATTGGGGTGACATTTGTAACAAGGCATGCAGCCAAAATTGTTCAAGCTGTAGTAAGGAATCTGGTTCATGCATTGCATGCAATCCTGGATTGTGGGGACCATCATGCGTAAATGAATGTAATCAGTCGTGTTCCTCTTCTGAATGTGATACTGTGTCCGGCGAATGTAAGAATTGTAATTTAAATAGATGGGGAATGTTTTGTGAAAATAAATGCAGCGCGTCTTGTTCTTGGGGTTGTCACAGACAAACTGGACATTGCTTAATTTGTGGAAACAGATATTGGGGTCAGGATTGTTCTTATATGTGCAATAGCTCAAGATGTGAACAATGCTCTATAACGAATGGATTATGTACTATGTGTCAACATGGATTTTGGGGTGAAAACTGTCAGTCTACATGTAACTCTGATAAATGTCTTCAATGCGATAGAGCCACTGGTTATTGCAGTGCATGTCCACCAGGTCGATGGGGATTACTTTGTCAAAAGTTATGCAGGGATGAGTGTCCATGTTGCAATATCAAAACCGGAACTTGTACATTGTCATGTCCTAGTGTTTCAGGTTCGGACAATCTTATATTTTTCTTTTAAATGATATTCTCTTTCAAAATGCTAATCACCTTATTTTTTTCTTTTGCCATTAATCCTCTTGCATATATTGTCACTGTATAATGTATAGTTGAAGTAATCCGTCATTTTTTTTTGTTATCCGATTCAGTATAACTACTTCTATTGATATTTGGGAAATTATTTCACTAACATTTATGACATCATTTAAATATTTCAGATTCTGACAAATTAGCACAAGATGAGACACAAACTGTCACAATAATTGTCGTTGCGGTCATCTGCATTGTTATTATTGCTGTTGCGTTTGGGTTAAATTGTACTATAAGACACATGTAATAAAGTTATTTTCTTTCTCCTTGAACATAATAGATTTCTTGAAGAATTGGGGGCATCGCGCTCTGACATTTCGTTATATTATGTAGTCCAAGATATTATGTTTCAATTTGAATAAAATGCTCTTCCAATATAGATATAAACATTATACTAACGCAAATATGAACTTTTAAAAAGATGAAACGATTTTGTTAGATTAGACGTTGACCAGTTCATGTTTATAAAGGTGTCACGTAAAAATGTCTGATCAAAATTTAATCATAAAGACATGTGTGGTCATGTTGCGTCAATTAAATGACGATAAGCAAATAATTTAACCAAAAAGATTCAAGCATGTTAAAGCATTGTATTGTTATTTCAAAGGAGAAAAATGTTGCATCTATGTGTTAAATTTCATAATCATAATATTCCTACATGTTAATAACAAATTCGTTATTTTATACTGTAGATTAAAACGAAGGAAATTTACGGAGGAACAGGACGGAGCAAAAGGTAAAATAGTTATGCTGCATAAAATATGCTGAGTGGTATTATATTGTTATATTATTTTTATTTTTCGGAATAATTGAAGAGCTCTTCGGTAGTGTTGAATATCGAACACCGCGTTAAGCCGGCGTTAGAGGCGTGAGAGATATTCCCTTTTTTACAATGTCTCTCACGAACAAACTTATTCAACCCAAGTCTGAAATTTTCTTATCATATGATGATAAGCTAATTCCGAACGGGCCTCCTTTTTTGCTGTATTTATCAAGAGATTGTCATATTCAATCAAGTAACAAAATCCTGAAAATTCTGTTTTAATACTGAGGTAAAAGATTTTTATTCTTAAAATAAAATTGACATAAAGACATTTTGTTTTCTTGATACAGGTTATGATTATATTCGAAAGTTAAATACAACAGCTCTTGATGGCAATGACTTTATATGTACCTACTTGAATTATATCAGTAGAAAATATAATTCACAAAATATTTTGTTTGTTCGCTATACATATGTTTATTTATATTTTGATTTTAATGTTTGTTTGTTTGGGTTTTTTGTTTGTTTGTAATTTTCCCTCATTTTATTTTGGTTTTTAAAGGTTCTAAGGCTTCAACAGAAATGGGCAACTATCCATCCACATCGACAATAACACGAGATCCAATGTACATCAATGTTACTGAATCTAATATAAGTGAAATACCATCCACTGAATCAGGCCTAAGTGAACTACCATCAGATCATGTCTATGAACGATTAAGGCGTTGAAGGATTGAAGAGTACCTAATTGTCCAATAATGGTCTAATAATTGTTACAATTTATATTCTTAAAATCTTGACAGTCAAAGATTATACAAACCTTGTTTTTTTAAATAATCATTATGGTGTTTCTGTTCAATCGCTTGTTACTTACGTTTTGTTCAAGCTATGTAAAATAGTTTGAAAAGTGACATAACTCTGACGATACAATCTATAGATTAGTATAATGATATTATTTTAACTTTATTTGTCAATTCCTACACTGTCTCATTGTATAAATTAGATATTCATAATTTTATATATATCGTGTTTGGTATATTACTTTATAACCGGCTCAGAGTTAAAGCCGTTTTTACTTGGCATTCAAAATTGTCGTTACGGTATTATTATTATTATCATTATTATTTTTATTATTATTATTATTTTTATTTTTATTATTATATTAGAAGGCTTGATCAAGCAGATAGATAGAGTAGGGTGAGCGTTTCAGTTTACACGAAAAACGCACGCTCTGGAATAAACGCACGCACGTTACACGCTATACGAACGAACGTTATGCGCGCTTTACCAAACGAAATACGCAGACGCACGCTAAACGATATATGCACGCTAAATCGCACGCATATTAGAAACGTTTCTAAATGTTTAATAAAATATCGTAACCATATTAGTTTTTAACAACTTGAGCTCTATTTAAGATATTATATAACTTCTCAATAGGAACGGTACTTTAACGTTCAGACGAACGCAGACGCACGCTAAACGTTTCTGGGGATAACAATCGCACTCTTTCAAACGCACGATAAACGAAAAACGATGAACTTTAAACGCTTGTAAACAATACACGCTTGAGAAAGTGTTTAATCAAACGCACGTTGCACGATATATGAGCGCACGACATACAAAAACGCATGCATGAAAAACGCTATTTTAAATAACCGAAACGTTCACCCTACAGTAACAGACACGAGTAAGCACTTTTACTATAATGCGTTACATTTTTTTGCTTGGAGCAGAAAACAAAAAACAAAAAACAAAAAGTTTAATTTGATTTACATTACATCATGCTTATTCTGGTAAATATGCTTTAACATTCTTCTGCAAAGGTAAGTCTTTTCTGTTGTTATTGTTTGTTTTTTGTTTTTTGTTTTTTCTTTTTTCTTTTTGGTTTTATAGGGGGGGGGGTTGATTGTACTTTTGGTTTTTGTTGTTGTATTTGTTTGTTGTTTTCTGCCCCTCCCTTCACAGAGCACAAAATATCACCATGTATATGTGTCTAATGGTTTTGTTAGTAAAGTGTGTGAACTGTAACTTCCTTTCATTGTGTTTGCCATTATTTAAAAGGAACTTCAATTGGGTTAAAAGTCTACAATATATACTTTAATAATAGGAATTTTTCATATGTATCAAGTGAAGCACTAAAATCGAATGATCTGAAAGGGATAATTAAAAATATATTGATTATACATGGGTGATCGCCATAATTTGCACTTTTCAATTGGAACAACATGTGCTCCCTTTCGACAAAAAAGTAAAAAAAAGGATTTATTTAATCTCAGCGTTTTTATTTTTTCTTTTATTTTGCATTTTATGTAACACCCTTCTAACATTATGGCACCATTCAAGCTAACTTTGTCACACAGGACTGTTCAGATTTACTCGTCTGTACTTGTACTTGACATACTTTATGCTCACTAGTTTACTGATAGGGAATGGTTCAAATTATCAGTTTGACATATTTGTTCATTTAAATGTATCCTGAATCTTTGACATTCTGGATTTAAACCAGAAGTCAGATCATGCTTTAAAATCTTAATTTATAAAAATGTTCTATAAGAACTCGTTCAACTGTGCTAGATAATGGCTAGCTGTATTGCTACTTAAGTATCGCGTTGGGGGATATAGCTATCCTTTGGACTGCCTTGTTTAGATTGTATATAGGATTAGTGTGGGTAATTTTTTTAGTCTTATTAACTTTATATAATATTTTTATCATTGATGAATTTTCAACTTTTTTGAAAAATCATAAACAGGAGTCGCATAAATAGATTTTGTGCAGATGTGAAACTTTATAAATGAACTGTATACTCGTAAATGTTAAACGCGAGGTGCCATGTAAGTTTTGAGCTTTCACTTTTTTCAGTTTAGTTTTGCATATACCTACATGTGATTTCAAACATATTAATAAAAACATATTAAAAACTGAATTTTATAGCGTCTGCGTTCGTTCAGTAAAAATGTATGATCGTATTATAGTTTTAAAATGATTCCGTCGAACTTTCAATAAAATTGATAAGTTGATAAGTAAATTGATAAGTTCTATTTATTGTTACATCCGCGAACCAAAGAATGACTTTTCCTTCAGTGGTTCAATATAAGTCAATTGTAAGTTGAATATGACTTGAATATGATTTTGTACAATCAAATGATTGGATGAAAGGAAGAAATCAAAGAAACCACACGTCAACACGTCATCACCTGATAAATGTGAACAAAATTTTAATAGAGATCTACCGGTTTCGAACCTATCTAGTTCTTCATCAGGATTTAAATACTGTTAACAATCCCGTTGGTCGTAGAAAAAAATGACTATTTCGATTTATTAAAAAAATATGAAACTTATTTGTCAGTTTTATTTTTGCAAAGTTTAATTCATTATGTAGAATATCATTTGGTCCTTCCTAAACTACACTATGTTTTATACCTTATAACAAATACCGTAAACATTTTTAAAGCTTAATTTAATTTATATGGTATGGCTTGCAACAATGCTTGCAATAAAAACGGTAAAGAAATATCAATAAACAACTGAATGACTGGTGTATGTACAATTGGTCAGTAGAGAAAAATTGTAATAACATTTACTGGTAAAACGGATACTGGATTTTATTATTATTTTTTCTTTGTTGTTGTTTATTTATTTATTTTTATTTTTTATGCCTTTTTCCCTAATGGAGGGTTGGTATTGACTTGTTTTGTTTTTCTTTTTTGTTGTTTTTGTATTTTGGTTTTAAACGAATTGTTATATCTGTAGTATTTCATCAGGAGTAGAATGTAGAAAACTGTTGTAAAGTGGTACTCAAAAACGGACATAACTGTTTACGTTATAATATGAATTAAACTCTTAATATTTTTAGTGCTTTCCCTTACTTTCGTGTAAATGTGTTCCTTGGCGCATAGACCAAATGATACAATTATATTTGTTAGAAATGGGGTATTATTGCTTAAATCTAACATTGATAAGTATTCACATGCTATTGTTCTTGTGTCAATATAGTTTGATAACCAGTATCTGCATATAAAATAGTCAGTTATTCAGTTTTATTATAACATGCTTTCATAACTCAACAATATGTGCTTTATTAGCACTCTGTCCTGTTTTAACAGTTTTTAGTACTTTGTTTTGTTTAGTGAATTACATTTCATTTTATGGCTTGTATATATTGTTTTATAATGTATAAGAGGACTCATTTATTAATCTTATTGTAATCAAGCTACAGTTTTTCTTTTCGACATCTTTAAGTGTACTTTATGCAACTTATTCTGCAATTTGAATTTAACCCTTTCGCTGCCAGAGGGTTATTTATTTATTGAGCACCTATTTGCCAGAAGGTTTTCTAAGAAATAACTATATTATTAATTAATATAATAATTATTATATGATTATTACTGTTATAATAATTATACATTATATGTTTCCAAATCTGCTAATATATAATAATTATTGTCGATTTTATAATTATCTATATATTTTTAATTATTATTATTATTATAATTATTATAATAATTATTATTATTATTATAGAAACCGCAAAAGCCATCCATATGGCAAATACGCCGAAAATAATAGGGACGGCATATGACGTCCCTATGGCAGTGAAAGGGTTAAAGATATGATTAAAAATTTATGTACTGAACCGTTAACATGTTTGGCATTCGTGTGTTTTAGTTCACGTGTTTGACATACTTGTGATTTAGCTTTTTACTAATAAAACTATGAATGTATGCAATAATAACAATATAATAGATTGAAGTATAATGGCAAAATGGTGTATTGTTTGTGTTTATTCGTTTGTCAATAAAGATGTACGATAATATTATAGTGCTTATATTCAAAGGATTTTGCCGTACTTTTTATGTATTTTCAAATGGTAAATTGGTGTAATGAATTCTGTTTATTGTCGCATAAGTATTTTCTCTGCCTAATTATAAATGCAGAATTTTCCGAAAAACAAACACTGTTTGTGTGTCCGATATTTCCGGCAGTGGAACCGTTATGAATGCAACCTAAATAACAAGCCATTAATATTGACGAATTAACATTGGCGGATAGGAAGTTAGAACCTTTTGATGTTCTCATACATGAACGACCTGCAGATTTCTAAACTTACATTGGTACTATAACTCTACTATTTGGGAGGTTCGAAATTGATTCTTTTAACAACAGTATTTAAAACACAAATGCATTGATTGTTTCGAAATTTCGTCACATATTTAATAACATTTCACGTGTTTAGTTATACAATATAGAGTACGGAAATTTTATATAGTATTTTATTAATTTTTTCACGGGTATTCTTACTACTAAGTAGTTTTCCAACGACAAGGTTCGAAAGCAGACGGAACTTTAGTTATTGCTGGGATACCTTTCGTTGAAAGATGGGGTCTAAGATGACGCAATTTCTTTATAAATGAACAAAACAATATATAGCAGATACGTATGAATGTAGAACCAAGTGTAGCATTTCTAAGCTAATAAAACGGTAGAACCAAAGATCATGCATATATCTTTACATAGCAGATATAGCACCGTCTGGAACTGCGCAACACTTCTAATACAAATAGTTATATTTCCCAGAAGAAAACATAACTGTTTTATAAATAGTCAATTGTGAATAAAATAACAGAACACAGAATGATTGGAATAAGGCCGTGACTTTATTGTGCATTTTGATGAAAACAAATATCATCGTCAAAAAATATGAAATGAATGAGAAAAATATGAAAGACAGCTCCCAGCTAAATGCATGGAAAGCTACATAGCAACGCAAAGTGCTGTAAACTATGATAATAAGCTCTGAAAATGCTAAACTCTGCTTGGACTTGCCGCTAAGAGGTCAACGATTAAGAATATAAAGCGGCGTGGCATTTTACAAGAGTAAAACAATAACAAAGCTAAAGAGAAATCGGGGCAAATTGCTCCCATTAAATCTCGTATCAATGAGATATTTGCAATGAAAATGAAAAGTCTTGAATACAATTTGACTTGGAGAAGTTACAGTAATACTATATAAAGTCACGACTGGATTTAACACACTAATGTATCAATTATTAAAACGTATTTGCATTATGAAAGATATATTCTAGTTTTCAGATATGATCAATAAAGTTAGGTATGTGAAAACAGTAAAATAAAAACATTTTTGATTTCCTATACCATGAAACTTGCAAATTGTGGTCGACTCGCCCAGGAAAAACCAAATAAAACCCAGTGGGAAAAATTGGAAACCTGTACCCGTTTGTCAATGTCATACCACAAAAATGTCGGGTCGCATCCTTGCAAATTCATTTAAGCATTAGAATATATAAAAAGGTACCATTTTAATCATTTAGCTCAAATAATCATTGTTAATACTGATAAATATTTTATAAAATAATTTTAAGTATTGAGTAATGTTCCAAATTACAACTGTTTATTTTTACAACAATTTGAAAGTTTGTTGTAATCAGACGTAGAGCATCAAATTATAACTTTGAGTGTCAACACATCAACACATTTCAAACACTAAATGCGTGGGATGAAATGTTTTTTGTAGACTGTAATTACTGGACATCAAATTCAAGCACACGTGTCGATGGAGCGGCATGACATGGCTGAACAGGAAGTTATGAAAACCCGGCTGGATTCAAGCTGAAAAATATAAACACTCGGCAGCAGAACATGTTTATGTAAAATTGAAATAGAAATAACACATGGGAAGGGAGGGTGGGATTTTAATAAGCGATGTTTCCTCGTCAAATTTTAAACTTTAAATGCGCAGCCTTTACAATGTACGCACGAAAAACTCGTGCTTGGTAAACTTACGAAAACCAGTTTTATCAGAATGTTTTACCGTTTCACACGGATGAGTTTTGAGGCAATTACACATATGCACCCGTCAAAAATTAAACGGGATTTATTTCTCAAAAGAAGATAAATCTACTTAATTTATTTACGGGTATTCTTACTACTAAGTAGTTTTCCAGTGACAAGGTTCGAAAGCAGACGGAACTTTAGTTATTGCTGGGATACCTTTCGTTGAAAGATATGGGGTCTAAGATGACGCAATTTCTTTATAAATGAACAAAACAATATATAGCAGATACGTATGAATGTAGAACCAATAGTAGCATTTCTAAGCTAATAAAACGGTAGAACCAAAGATCATGCATATATCTTTACATAGCAGATATAGCAACGTCTGGAACTGCGCAACACTTCTTATACAAATAGTTGTATTTCCCAGAAGAAAACATAACTGTTTTATAAATAGTCAATTGTGAATAAAATAACAGAACACAGAATGATTGGAATAAGGCCGTGACTTTATCGTGCATTTTGATGAAAACAAATATCATCTTCAAAAAATATGAAATGAATGAGAAAAATATGAAAGACAGCTCCCAGCTAAATGCATGGAAAGCTACATAGCAACGCAAAGTGCTGTAAACTATGATAATAAGCTCTGAAAATGCTAAACTCTGCTTGGACTTGCCGCTAAGAGGTCAACGATTAAGAATATAAAGCGGCGTGGCATTTTACAAGAGTAAAACAATAACAAAGCTAAAGAGAAATCGGGGCAAATTGCTCCCATTAAATCTCTATCAATGAAATATTTCTTGACGACAACATTTTTATCAAATACCGAAATGCACATTTTGTGTGTTGAGGGCCACTTAATATTTCAAGAAATGAAATTCGCCACTAATGATTTTCATAGTGAATGCACGTATTTGCGAAAGGAAAATGTAAAGATTTGATACAGTTGATGCATTGGGTTTTCCTAAGTAGTTATTTGTTAATTATTTTCATAACTCCTGCGCTGAAATGGTAAAAATGTTTATTGGATACCAGTCTGATCTCGACTACACTGAAATATGCATCAGTGAAAATGAAGGAAAAGCGAGAGAAGTACATGTACACATTTTTAATAAAATAAGGAAATTTAAAAACAAAAAAGGGGGTTGGAATCTTAGCAAATATTGCTAATATAATATACATCGCAATCCATAAAAAAGCCTGAGCTAAGCTTCAGACCGGTAGGACAGGGGGACTTACATGTCTGTTTCAACAAAGCCGGGTGTTAGAGGTATGTAGCAAAGACAACGCGGCGATAAAGCGATATGTACGGACCTACACGTACATATCAAACACTGCTTATTCAACTTTCGACTAGCCACTTAAAGGCGTCGGCCGGCAAGTTGATTTTTTGCAGCCCTGTCTAAATAAGACACAGGCAAAATTATGGACAGCTAAATGGCCGACCGCACGGTCACAGGCCCCCTCTAACGGTTAAGGGCGCACGCCCAATAACACCAATATAAGAGATAACCGCCGAACGCAAGGTGCTGTTACAAACGGTTAACCTAGGAAAAAGTGAGCACAAAGATACTGCTGCGGTATCATGACTTTTAGAAAATAAATACTTATAACTAGATGTGCCAAAACCATTTTGCAACTTTTTTTTTTTTTTTTTTTTTATTTTTTTGCTCACGACGCGGACATTTAAAATTATAAAAAAAAACAATCGTTTCTCCCGCCTTTCCTTCATAAACGATATACATTCGTTGTAGCATGCCGATTGATGCTATGCAGCCGCACAGTACAGCATATGTTTGGGGACAATCTCTGGGAAAAAAGATTTGCTTGCTAGAACCATTGACCTTTTCAAATAAAACGGTTTTGGTCATCAAAATACATAGGCAGTAAAACGATCAAACGGGAAAATAAAATGAAGTAACTTAGATAAAGAGACTATTAGCTAAAGATTTCTAAAGGGAAACAAACACAACGTAGCACTTTAAATAAGGTCACTTCCCGCAAAACATGGAAAATTGAGGTGCCTTTAAACAGACCAAAGACACTACAAACCAGGTCGTCGGTTCGAATCCTTTATCTTTTATATACATATATTGAAGGAAGTAGAATTTTCAATTTCTTATTATTTAAAGATAATTGGCCGTTGTTTATTATGTATTGCTTAATTCATTAACAAATATGATAGACAATTTCAACTTCTCTTTAATTCGTTAACAATATCAAACAATTTAAATACTTTAGAGAAACTTTGGATTATAACTAATAAAACGGCATATTTAATTAATGTTTAGAATTTGACACTGTTAAACATGAAAAAAACTTGTTTTACGGATGTTAAAATAGGAGGAAAGTCATATAAGAAACAACAAATTGGTTTGAGTGGCCTGTCAAAGTTTAGTCCGACAGGCCGCTAGGCCGCAAACTTCACAAAAATGATAAAACAATCAAAAAGTTCTTTTATGATTCCTTGTTTGTTTTATATATCTTTTTAAGCTGCATGCCTCCAGATGAGTCAAAATATTTCAATAAAATCTAACTTGAGAAATATGTACTATGATTTTAGGAAAAGTAGAATGATTCAAGATTCAAGTAATATTTTACATGTAATGTGCGATTAATGACTGATTTTTCAATATTTACAACTAGATTTCTACTGCGTTACATGTTCTAATGCAGTAAGGACTATTTATGCATATTTTGACAACTTTTGGTAATTTGCGTGGGTTGTAGATGCTATTGATAATGTGCAAATTGCTTCCTTTTGGTTATTTCACAATATTATACATTCAAATAAATTTAAATAAAAAAAATCATGAAACTTAGCGTGAATTTGGAGGCGTGCTGCTTTAATATCAAGAATTGTCTAAAGAACTTCACAATGTGCCGTTTTTATTGTTTTTATAAAATTTCTACAACTGTAAAATTTTAGGTTGCCAGGCTATTCTTTATGAATATGTATTTTTTCTTTCTTTCTTTAATGTAACTTTAAAATGACTTCAAAATTAACTATGAGTCGACAAATTTCTACAACACTAAGTTCAGGCCACTGTGCCGCCAACTTCACGCCGCTAGGCCGCTGAGCCGCTACTAGGCCACTGGGCCGCTAGGCTGCCAACTTCACACTCAATTACTATACAACTCGTGCATGAAAGAAATATTTCTACTTGATAATCTATCCAAAAAATCAAGTTAATATTAAAGATCAATGCAAATAATTACCTTTTACATGAATAGCGTGAATTAGGAAAGTCATTTCCCATCAGCACCTTGAACCATGCCATGCCGCTATCCATCAGTCCATAACATCAACCGGTTCCTTCCTTGATATACCTTTGCTCTGGAAGTAATACAGCACGATTCGCGTTTTCACGTGTTCGTCTATCTGTCTATAGACATAGCTGCACACACCAGTCTGTATCAGTAATACTATAAAATAAATCAAACACATGTACATCTGTACACGACTAATTACGACTAATTATTTTCCAAGCTCTGTGTTAAGTTTGTTTTTTGTTTGTATTACTTTTAACAATAACTTAGTAATGGCCGGTTCGTTTGGGCACACGGAAGAGCTACCGGAATGAGAAGAGCTCTTCCAAAGTGTTCGATTGAGCGTCTTCTATTTTTAGAAGCTCTTCCATCTCTTCCACTCGATATTTGGAAGAGCCAGAAGAGATTTGAATCACGTGATAAAAAGAGGATGGCCGACAAGGAGATGTAAGTAAAATGAGGAATTAAGAAATAGTGTTTTTCAGAATGAATAGTTATTCATTATAGTATATTTGGTGCCACTTAATGCAAAACATTCATATTATTGTTCCTCCGTGTTTAAAATTGCATTTTGTGTGTTTAGAACGCTGACATAACAGATGATTTGAACTAACCTTATATTGGGGGTGCCATATTGGGATACTGTACGCATTTCGGACGGTGTCGAGGAAAAACCGCCCCGTAACTGAATTACCGGCATTGACAAGACATTTTATGAGATTATGATATTATTTAAGCTTTTATTGTCTGTAGAAAACACTTATTTGCAATTAAGAAAATGATGTGATCAAAAGAAAAACCTATGGTGACGTTGTTTAATCGGGCAGCACATGGCCGTGGGCCAAATACACACACATATGGCCCAAAATACGCAAAAAGAAATTTTTTATACTAAAAAAGTGCTATTTTAAGTATGAAGACTTCAAGTACATGTATACAATGTACACTTTAAACATACTGTACCAAAGTATACATTCCCCTATCACCTTTTAAATATAGGGCCTATCAAAATACTGTATAATCCATTAAGGCTATTAAATTTAGAAAAAAATAATGGAAGTGGCTTGCCGTACGGGCCCGTACGGCTAGCCAAAAGTTCTAGCTGTACGTGAGTCACGTACGATTAGCCTGGACACACTGTATTGGCTAGCCGTACGGCACTTTTCAAAATTATATTGAAGTCGAAAATGCATATGTTATTTTGTGTCTTTAAACGACGATTTTAATCAAATCTCCGCATTTGTCCTAGTGTGTTCACTTTAATAAAGATGCTCCGCAATTTTGCACACACAAAGAATGAATACGAGTAAACGTTGTATAATCTGTCTTAATAAAATTAAGTGTCAAAGTTGCATGTTATAACGTCCTTAATTTTCATGCTTATAATTTGTATGAAAGATGAATTGTTGAATCTGTTAATTAAGCACATGGATCGAATAAATAATGATCGGAGGGGAATAAATAAATAATAAAAAAGAATATTAAAAAAAAACGATGAAAAGGAAAAATAATTTAATAATGCAAACTTTCCTTAATGATGGACGATGTAGACAACAAATATTATCATATCTTTTCCTTAAATATTGCAAGTATATTATTCATAAATAAACCCAGAAAAGCAAATGTCACATTTTTTTTTCTTACAATATCTGAATTGCCCATTTCAATGGAATGAATTAAAGTTATAGCAGGCTATGTCATATTTTATTTATATTAATTCATTTTCTCGATATAACTTATATTTTATACAAACAAAAATGAATGTTGCTATATTTGGGTGTATTTGCGTATTTCGTGATGCCGTGTTTAAGCACTGTTAGATATTTATTTATTTCTTTTCTTAATACTTTCAGTACATTCTTGGTCTACATCGATGGTGTTCAGCACCAGATTACAGCAGACCAATCACTTGTGGAAGTCTTGAATTCAAATGGTATGTTGTGTAAAGGAGGCAGAACATGTGATTTAACATATGCTTTTAAGTTTCAAGTTGGTTCTCTACTACCTGAAAATGCTTGCTATGCATCTGTACTGGTAGTGGTAGGAAACGCAAGAGATGAACCAGTCATCTGATTTGATTGATGTAATTTGAGACAACTTAGTATTAAAGTCCATGCTAAAATCATTTTGTTTAACAGAAGTTAATGTGGTGGGTGTATGGAACACAGACACTTAAGTGATATAGGGGTTTGTCATTTACTACACAACTACATGTGAATGGAATATACCGGAATGTTGGTAGAATATAAAGAAGGTCTATATGCATAAATTAAATTTGAAAAATAGTACTGTATTCATTGTAAACAATATGGTTTTCAGTCTAGTTTTGTGTGTCTCACTCTGTGCAGTGTCATAACATGTTAAAGCATGTGTAATGTAACTAATGGAGAAAAGTACAGTCACACTGTCACAGTGTGAGGCTATTTTACTGTTTACGGTACATTTTTCACTTGACATTATTTGAATATTATCTTTTCATTCGGTTCTAACTTAATATGAATATATTACTAATAAAGACTTTCATTAATTTCTATAATGACCATCAATATTAGTTTAAAGTAAGCCAAATAGGCCCTGATTTTTGTGTATTTACTGGTATATTTCAAACAATTTGTTCAATGCCTATTAGAACAAACTGCTAACTGAATCAGCCAGTTAAATTTAGTGGCTTTTGGGAAAGTAATTGTTAAACTTAAAGTTCAGGGATTTTTATTTAAAGTACTGGTATGCATATAAGTTTCAACAATATCTTTTCAGATCCTCTCACAAGACACCATGCTTATGAATATGTGGCCACTCTGCTAAAGAAAGGTTTGTCAAATATTTATTTTTCGATATTTCAATAATTTATGGTCTTAAATCATGCAAGGTTAAATAATTTTATTTACCATTTACAATCCTTGGATGAAAATGCTGATAAATTCAGGTGCAGGGGTTTGGGAAAAGGGGCAGACATGTGTTTTCTTTTTGGATAACATATACGTGTTGTTATTAGAGCTGTCATTGATTATCGCCATAGCGATATATCATCGATATTGATCATCAGATACAATATCAATACAGATTTTCAAATATCGAATTCGATACAAGCTAAAATTTATTTGTCTCTCGATATATCGATACAAAATTGTCCATCAATGACAGCCCTAGTTGTTATGATTTGTATATTGTTACGTTTTTTTTTTCTTCAGGAAACCAGTGTACATTGACCAAAGATTCGTCAGGTGTCAGTTGTGGTATTGGTGAGCCAGCACCTATGTCTGTGGCTTCGCAGAAGGAATTAGGTTGGTTGTGAAGTTTGCTTAGAAAACTTGAGAACCCTTTATACTAGGTTTAGACAAGTTTGTAGAGCATTGGACTTCCAGTCCACTGATTAACGAATATTCCACACGATATTTGTCTCTCGATATATCGATACAAAATTGTCCATCTGTTACCGGGCTTTGTTCCATAATATTAATAATAAAACAAAGACAGAGTTCAATCACTGTATTCTTTAAGACTTTATTGCATCTAGGTGTAGAGACATAGTAAATCCACTTTACACTTCACATAGGCTCTGCAAATAAATTAAACATAACATATTTCTTATAAGGTTAAATTTATAACATACATACAATGCATAGAACAATGAAAACAACTATATATCATAATCTTAATATCATACACAAACAACCATGACATCATAGAATAGAGTGATCACGTGACTGATAACGTGACAAGAAAATAACGATAAAAGCCGTACAAACGGTACAGAAACAATTATCAAGTTACAGGAACAGGTAGCGAAGAATATGGGGAATAATAACGGGGAATATGCTAAAAATGACCCTGTAACACATCAATGACAGCCCTAGTTGTTATGATTTGTATATTGTTACGTTGTTTTTTTTTTCTTCAGGAAACCAGTGTACATTGACCAAAGATTCGTCAGGTGTCAGTTGTGGTATTGGTGAGCCAGCACCTATGTCTGTGGCTTCGCAGAAGGAATTAGGTTGGTTGTGAAGTTTGCTTAGAAAACTTGAGAACCCTTTATACTAGGTTTAGATAAGTTTGTAGAGCATTGGACTTCCAGTCCACTGATTAACGATTATTCCACACGCTAAGTAAAGCACTCCCATTGTGATTCATAATACATTTTACGGCAATTGGAACCCATGACCTCTGGATCCAGCGTCTTTCGCCTGTCCTATAGACTATGGTGCCTCCCTAGAGCAAGCATTAACATCTTCTATTGGTAAACAGTGTTAATTCTAACAAAACACAACAGTCAACAGTCTGGAGATAAGATTATATACATATATCACTTGTGCACACCTTTAGCTATATTGATACTGGATAATGTCACTCAGAAAAACCATGATTTTGGTGATTCAGGGTTAAAGTAATATCAGACAAAAAACTTTTTTGTGTTGTATGTTTTCTTTCTTTACAACAACACCCATAATTTGTGTATTATTTTCAGGAAACTCGAGTACAGGGGCTCAAGATTTCTCATTAGGTGCAAGTGCTGTTCCGGTGCCTGAGCCTCAGACTTCACAGGTGGAACAAGGTGTGTTGGGAACCTTTTGTAGAAAACCTTATCCCCTTTAATACGTCTGTTAGCTTGGTCAGCAGAGCACCCGACTTCCGGAACGCAGAGCATTGACCTCTAATATAATGATCCCCTCAAATGACTGTTTGTAAGCTATCTCTGAAAACAGATGCTCATTGATCACAAATTGTTCATGCAAAATGCAAATCAAGAAACGCAATGTAGGATGTTGCGCAACAAATGCCAAAACAATTATAAACGACTGTCATATTTGATTGAAAGGCTGCAGAAAACACTGGCATCACCACTATTCCAATTGACAGTGAATAAGAATAGTTTGATATGTGTCTAACTGGCAGCTTTTGTTAATTAAAACATTCAGTTCAGTAAAACATTCACATGATATGATTTTAATGTTGTTTATTTTTAGGCCCACTGCAAAACATTCACAAAGTATGATTTTAACGTTGTTTATTTTCAGAGCCACTGTCTGAGAAAGGAAGCCCGGAAACTGAGAATTTTTCAAGTTCTTGGACGAGATCGCAAAGTAAACTTTTGACAGAGCTGTACAAACAAAACCATGATAAATTTCAGAATCCTGTAATAAAAAAGAGAACTTTGTGGGAGCAAATTACGAAGGATAAACAGCAAGGGCTATAGTTATACAACGAAACAAGTCGAGGGAAGATGGAAAACACTGCTATCAGCTTATAGAAGGGTAAAAGATCACAACAATACCTCTGGAAGACAAAGAAAGACATTTGAATTTGAAGAAGCATTAGACCCAGCAAACACAAGACGTCAGACCGACGTCAGATTTAAGTCAGGTTCTGACGTCGGATGACGGTCGGAAAAACGGTCGGATTTGAAAGTTTTTTTGACGTAATTATCTGACGTCAGGTAAACGTCGGAATCTAACCAGTTTTTACTTTTTCCGACCTAAATCTGACCAAATTCCGACCTAAATCTGACCATTATCTAACCAGTTTCTGACCTCAATTAGACCATTTCCCGACTTAAATCTGACCATTTTCCGACCTAAATCTGACCATTATCTAACCAGTTTCTGACCTCAATCTAACCATTTTCCGACCTTAGTCTGACCATTTTCTGACCATTATTTAACCGTTTCTAGCCTCAATCTGATCAGTTTCCTAATCTTTCTTGTTTTACAATTTTATAAATATTTTCTTGCCAATCCTGATTTGATAAAATTTTATTTACCTCATTCTATCAAGTAACTTCCACTCCAATGAAATGTATTACCAAAAACTAAAACCAAAATTTTGTTTTTATTTTTTTTATTTAAAATAAAAGTTGCAATTCATATCTGATACATACATTTTTAGTAAAATCTGCAAGGCTAAATACCTTCTACAAATTATACATAATAAAACATAAAATAAGTTAATAACAAAACACTACAGAAAGTATTACAAAAACAATTTCATAAATGAAATTAAGAAAACATAATTATGTACAAATATTAAAGAACATAACAATTTATGTACATTTAAACAAAGTTTGCCTTATCAAACAAAACAATAGAAATATTAGAATTTTAGGAAAAGTAAAAAGATTCAAGTAATACTATACCTGTTTTAAACTCACGTTTGTGCAATTAATGACTGATATTTCATTATTTTAACTATATTTCTACTGCGTTACTAACACATTAAGTGCTTTTTGCATATTTTTACCACTTTTTGATAACTTCCATTGATAATTATGTATCATTTTCTTCCTTTTGGTTACTTCACAAAGTTATTCTTTTAAATATGTGTCAAAAAATTTCATGAAAATCGCATGAATTTGTAGGTGTGCTGCTTTAAGGTATGTGACTCTTTCTCCCAACATCCCCATGTCCGTCAAGGGCATATCTTAAACAATGTCCAATGGCGTTTGTGGTATCATTTCACTGAAAAAAAAACAAATACAAAATATTTTAGAAAAAAAATGGGAAAATAACAAGCAAAATGTTTTTCATGGTAATCTGCCCTTAAGAAATTTCTGCCTATTTTGATAGTATTCTTAACTTACTGAACATCTTTGCTAGCTTTTTACAAGTGAAATTTAACGAAAATTAAAAGTAAACATAAATACTGAAAATAAAAAGGACAAAAACTGAGCAAGTATTAAATTAACCTTCCCTTTTTAAATGCTCTTCAAATTTAATAATAAATAATATGAATTACAAGTTTGAACAAAATACTTTTGATTTAAAAATAAAACAAACAATTGTGCTTAAAGAAAATGGAAACCATGCACAAAGGAGTCATTATTTTTCTTTAAGAGTAGACTTTAAAACAGTTCTTCATGTTTTCTAAAATTATGTACCTGTTATCAATCAATGTTGTTGATCTAAAAGACATCTTTTGTTATAAATTTGACCAGCAGCTCATTTGCCATCAACCTGAATTGAAAATATTTAAAAGTTAGAAGTTGCGATGGGATGTATGTATATGTACCTGACAATATTTTTGTTGATCTGTTAATGATTCATCAATGATAATTGAATATATTCAAACTTTTTAAGATCTTTAATTGGTTATATTGTTAGAAACATTGAATAATTCAAATATGAATCTATTAACTGAATCTTTTAAGGGAAGAGTTGAGCATGTTCAGAATGAATCACAAATAAATCTCACTCTATTATTCTTATTTAGATCTAATGATACACAACGTAATTCCTTTGATTTTACACTTATTTGAAATTATTAATCTAAAGATAACTTATCTAACCTTTAGATAATCTGAAGGCCGCTTTAAAACTCCAGGTTAGTATGTATTATAGTATGTAATGAAATTTACAGAAATCTTACTTTGTCTTGTTTCTTTTAACACTATCCCGTATTCCTGTCCCTCCAACCTTTTAGAGTATGTCCACCTGAAATGAAAATCACACTCTCCTTATGTAATTAATAAGATAGTCATGTAAGTCTTTAATTTTTCAAATTAAAGATTTTTAGTTATTGTTGGTAATAAATGTATTTTATTACTATGTGGTTTATATTCTGTTCTGATTGTTTTTATTATTTTTTTCTTTCTAGTTTAATGTTGCATTATTTTATTAAAAGTCATTATTAAACAATCAATCAGCTAGCTCTTCCATTCATATTCCTTTTATTTATTAGAACGATATTAAAATTCTTGTATGAAAAAATAAACATATTCTGTATTAATGGGTCCGATTTGGAAAAAGCCCGAAACATCTGGGGCCGAAACGTCTTGGGTAATTTGGGGCCGAAACGTTTTGGGTACGAAATGACTCGAAATCTGTCTAAATTCATTCTCATTTCACTGATTGTAACAGACAAAAACATCACAATTTAACAAGGATATGAACATTTAGCACTGCTGAAAGACACATTATTAACTCTTTACGTATATAAAAAAGAGCTAAGTCAAAACATGCCAAAATTTGAAAATGATTTATGAACAGACATCATCGCGAAAATGTGTAACATTTTGCTTCAACAGTTTATATAATAATAGTTTAAGTTTAAACTGCTTTCAAACATGCATTTATTTATAAAATACAACATATAAATAAATTGAACTGACCTTTTTCAAAAAAATCCAGAATATCCACTAAATCAATGCATCCCAAATCCTGAACTGTCACGCTGCCGGCCGCCAAAAAACATACACATTTAAATTTTCCATCAGTGCCAGCTAGTAGATTCGAATTATATAATTATGCTTTCTTTCCTTTTCGTTTTCAGTCACTATGATTTAATAGTATTAAAACAACATTAAAGCTTGTTATTGTGAAACAAATAATACCAGAAATGATAATAAAACGTTAAATGAACAGATCTATGGCTATAAATAGATTTCAAGACAATAACATGAAAACAGCGCCACCTGTATATTTTATTAGATCGCAGTACCGCGCATTTAGCCTTGGAAAGGCACCTGTATAATTATATACCCCTTATGCCAAATAACATTTGAAAAAAAGCTTAAATGATTACAACAGCGAATTAGGATTTTATTTTTGTTATTTGTTTACTTACTGTCAGGTTACCGACCAGAACCTGACGTTATTTCAACGTTAAAAAGAAACGTCTAATAGACATCGGTTTTTGGACGTCCTATTCACGTCGTATTTTGGTCGCCGACGTCGCGACCAAAATCTAACGACAATCCGACGTTATTTTAACGTCACGTGTTTGCTGGGGATGAACTGCTCTTAGATAGACATGACACAAAACCATCCTTTGTTATGTCATCATTAGAAAATAATCCATCAACCTCTTCAGGTGGCAACACTGAGGAGCCTGAAGACATATCTGACTCAGGTGAGCCACCACGTAAAAGAAAAAAGTGAAAGCTCTGCAGCTCATGTAATGCAGTTTCTTAAACAGTATGGAGAGCAAGAGGAGAAAAGAGAAAAAGAACGTTTGGAATTAGCCCAGAAGATGCACAATGAAAAAGTTACTCTTTTCAAGAGTCTCATTGATATAATAAAAAAAACATAGAAACTAATGGTAACAAGAAAATGTTTTGTGCATTATTAGCCCACCCGATCCGAGAGATCAGAATGAGCTATTGTGATCAGCTCCTATCCGTTGTCCGTCAACAATAAGCTTGTTAACACTATAGTGGTCACAATTTTGATCAAAACTAAATGTGAATTGGTTAGAATAATTGCCTCCATTAAATCTCTGACGAACTTAACGGGTTCATGTGGGGTCATAAACTAAGTTACTATGTCAAAGAATAGAAAAACCAATTTAATTCGTCTGAAGACCACATTTTTGATAGGAATGGCATGAAACATGTTATGAATATTCATCACAATAACACCTTGGAGGACTGTAAAATCTTGATCATTTGGTGTCAAAAGCAAATGACAGGAAACCCCATTAATACATTGTTTTAACGCATATGTGAGCAGCGCAGACCCAGACCAGCCTTCACATCTGTGCAGTCTGATCAGGATCTTCACTGTTCGCTTTTTGATAATTTTTTTTATGAATGTTAAAGATGTTAAAAGAAAACTCATGAAAATGGGTCAAATATTGAGCTCAATAAATTGTAAAATGAGATCAAATCTGGATCACTTTGGGTCAAAAACTGTATCATTAGGTCAAGTTGTTGAAAAACCTGCATGCATTACTCTACTTAATGAATAGTTTAAGGGTTAGGCATAACTTTATACTTTTACATTATCGTTGGTGCACTGACTAGTTTGGGCCCAAACTGCTCAGAGAAGACAATAAATGATTGGGCAACAGATGACTTGAATTCTATAAGATGCCTTCTTCAATATTTCACACTATTAAGTTACCTTGCTTAATTTTGAATCACTCTTTGTATTACTCAGATGTGTTTTTATATTTTCAGAAACAGCTTCCAGTTGTGAAACAGTTTTTTTTTCGGATGTAGACGTAGATAATGCACCACTGGCTCAAGCCATTGATGACATTTCACCTTTTAAGCAATACGAGGGACTGCATTGTATTCATCCATGATCATTTTGCAAATGCCAGAATCAAAAGGAATAGTGCCTTCTTCATATTAAAATGTGACCAGCCATTACAAAATGGGTCCAAATGAGGTGACGATCAAAATACGTGTGTGGCATACGCTGCCTGAAATATTTATTATACAGCTGGATAATAAGTTTCAAACAACAAAACTTTTATCTTACATGAAATCACAAACACATACATGGAATTTCAATCCCTTTAAGGTCTAACTCTTCAATATTTGTTTACTTTACCTTTTTAGTTTGCTTGTCATAAGTGGCTTTTGTGATCGCCTTTTGTCTGTCGTGCGTCAGTCCGTCCACAATTTTGTTAACACTCTAGAGGTCACATACTTATGAATGTATCTTAATGAAACTTGGTCAGAATCTTGTTGATTTCTGGGTTAAGAACAACATTGGTAAAAAAAACCAGGTCACAAGGTCAAATTAAAGTTAAACTTGTTAACACTGTAGAGGTCGCATTTATAATTTTATCTTTGTAAAACTTGGTCAAAATGTTTATCTTGATGACCCCTAGGTCCAATAGGTCGAAATTTGGTTATGTGCTTAAACAACTAGGTCATTACGTCAAATCATAGGAAAAGCTTGTTAACACTGTAGAGGTCACATTTATGATTGTATATCAATGAAACTTGGTCAGGATGTTTATCTTAATAGTCTTAGGTAAAGTTTGAATATGGGTCATTTGCAGTCAAAAGCTAAATCAGTAGGTCAAGGCAAAGAAAATGCTTGTTAACACCCAAGAGGCTACATAATTATATATCTGATCTTTTTGAAACTTTGCTTGTATTTAGGTATAATCAGTCTTCTCAAAATGTCTATTGGTTCTTACGATTTTATTTTAAAACAGGCAACTTAATTCAGGTGAGTGTTTTAGGGCCATCATTCCCCTCTTGCTTGGATATTTTTCAGTTATTTTTTGAAGTGATTATGTGCAAGTGTCTGAGTTTGTGAAAGAAATTTTACAATCAAACAACAACTTTTTAAGCTAGAAACATCCTGCAAGAAACAGTGAAAAATGTTGTCATTTTAACATCATTCTTAATGAATTACACTTCATTTGGGCCAAAAATCTTGTGGCACAATGGCAAAGCTGATTGTGGAATTTAAGTCTTGATTTTACTTGTTTTTATATGAAAAATCATGTTTTCTAGTCTTTTTAGTTAAATTCACGTAAGTGACATTGGGCCAGAAAGCCCTCTTGCTCAGTTTTTTCAGTCCATCACCTTGTTGTTTAAAGGGTCTGTAGGTAGAAGGTCAGAGCTACATTTCTGATCAATGATTTAAGAATCTTGTTACCTAGAACCTTAAAACTTTACACATAATTGAGTTTACAGAGTAGGCGGCTTTGTTGTTTTTGGGTCCCGGTGGTTATTGGGTTCATATGGGCCGGAGGGGGAGCCATTTATTTCTGTAAAACAATAATGTTGTCTATAATGACAGTCATAATGTTGGTATATGTTTTGTTATGTTTTTACCTTGCTGTGCTCAGGAATTTTGACATTTAAAGATGTCTAAACATAAATGTTGTTTATAATGACAGATAGTCATAATGTTATTTTTTATTTAAAGATGTCTAAACATAATTATTGTTTAAAATGACAGATAGTCATAATGTTATTTTTCATTTAAAGATGTCTAAACATAAATATTCTTTATAATGACAGATAGTCATAATGTTATTATCCCCCGCCGATGGAATCGGGAGGGGGATATAGTTTTGACGTTGTCCGTCCATCCGTCCGTCCACGTCCAAATTTTGTTTCCGGAGTAGTTCTCTGAAACAACTGGCTGGAATTCAACGAAACTTTATGGGAATCATCAATATCAAATGGAGATGCGCATATCGTCGGCTTGTTCCGGTCCGACCCTTTAACTCAGTTATGGCCCTTGATTAGTTATGCAATTTGCATATGGAGTAAAATTCGTTTCCGGAGTAGTTCTCTGCAACTACTGGCTGGAATTCAACGAAACTTTATGGGAATCATCAATATCAAGAGGAGATGGGCATATCGTCGGCTTGTTTCGGTCAGACACTTTAACTCAGAGTTATGGCCCTTGATTAGTTATGCAGTATCCATATAGAAAAATATTTGTTTCCTCGCTACTTCTCTGCTACTATTGGCTGGAATTCAATGAAACTTTATGGGATACTAAGAGGAGATATGCATATAGTCGCCTTGTTCCAGTCACATACTTATAACTCAGATTTATGGCCCTTGATTAGTTATGTAGTATGCATACATCTCATTGGCATTTCCAGATTTTACTATTTAACACAAAGTTATGGCTCTGTTATTGCCCTGAATATTTATCAAGTTCAAAGAATATTACTGTTTATGCCATGATTAATATATAAATAAAGCCTTATGTCTTCAGTTGTTGTATTAATGATAACCAGAACTCGGCGGGGGATATAAATTCAACGAATTTGCTTGTTTTTTATTTAAAGATTTCAGACATAAATGTTGTTTATGACAGATAATCATGATGTTGTTATTTTTTGTAATTATTGAATCTTGCCGTGATCTGTATTTTTAGCTCACTTGGGCACAGCCTGCTTAAGGTTCCATTTATGTCTTTTGAGATGGTCCTCAATTATAAGTTTGACCCCTTAATTTACTGTATATTGAGAATAGAAACTTTTACCGTACATGATTGCGGATTGAGTTCATGATTGTCATAAGCTGGGAAACAATATTGAAAGTACATGTAAGAGTACCAATTTAATAGAAGTCTGCTTTTTTAAAAAGAAATTTCACATTACGGTGTGCACTAAGATGCCTATGGGATCTATTTGTACTTTGTATATAAAGTAGCCAAATATTTCAGGCACAGCACTGTCCCGAAGATGCAATGCAAGCATTCTACAGTGAATATTTAGTTAAGTTACAGTGAATTTATTTTAAGTTCCAAAATCAGTTTTGTAGGAAAGTCCAAAACTATCTTTAGATACATTTTCTCTCCCATTTTATAATAATTGTACACAAATACAAAATAGCATTCATTTCTTTTTGTTTTGGAAACATGTACCTCTTTCATTGTAGAGATGTAGTATTTCAAATAATCGTGGAATTGTTCAACACTGGACTTTTTGATAAACACATTTCATGCAATGGAAATGAAAAGTAATGACAAAAAAGATTCAGAAGTTTTAAGGTTTTATACATACTTTCATTGAACACTCAAATAATACATCTGAGAACAAAAAGTTAATGTAGAAATATTGTACTACTTCTTATAGTTTTAAGCATAGCACGAGTTTCTTTAAGGATAATAATGAGTGACAACATTTAAAATGAGGGGAACCATATCAAAAGACTACAAAGAACCAAATGTGATCTTTTGTTGAACTGTGATTATTTTATTGCAAGTATTTTTCTGGTAAAATGCCAAGTGAATAAACATGAAAAAACACACAAGCTTATTTATTATTTTACTTGAGTAACAAAACCATGATGTAGATTTATTTAAAACAACTCGGCAATGTTGTTTCGGCAAATAGTGAAATGTTGTATCCAAAGTTAGTTTGTGAAAAGGAATAAAATACTTTGATCATATCATAGATTCTATTGATAAAGCTGTGAAAGCAATAATTACTATGGTGAAAGACTTGAAAATCCAGTAACAAAACAGGAATTTTTGTTTGTGTTCTACGCCACTTATTTTTTAGAATTTTCATAACTATGGCTCGAATAATCAAATGCAGATTCATAGACTAGTTCAGCCCCTGTTTAACTGTCTTGTTAGCATCATTCTTTTCATAACACCTTCAGCATTGTTCTGTGGTACTAACAATCCATTGTTAACATCATTGTCAGGATTATTATCTTCAAAAATTATGTCGATTTCATCTTCATTTAATATGCACAAATTATGCAATATACAAGCCGCAATAACAGCTTTGATAATATACTCAATATCCACCATGTCTATGTGCTGCAGTCGTCGAAACCTACTTTTCAACATGCCAAAACTGTTCTTTATTAAAACACGTGTTCCAGACAGGGTTTTGTTGAAGTTTACTTGTTCCCTTGTTAAATGACCATTATCACGATAAGGGGTCATTAAGTATCGAGAGATAGGATAAGCTCCATCCCCAAGTATGTGGTTTATTCCAGTTAATGCTGGCAATGCTTCACACAATGGCGAATTTCTGAAAACCCGTGCATCGTGCGCCTTTCCTGGCCATCCACAATACACATCTCTAAATCGTCTGTCCTCGCGACAAACTGCTTGTAAGATTATTGAATAGTACCCTTTCCTATTGAAGTAATCTTGATGTCTTCTTGTTGGAGCAGAAATCTTGATGTGTGTGCCATCTATTGCCCCCAAAACACCTGGAAAGCCTTTCTTATTTTGAAATTCACTAATTACAGCATGCTTTTCATTGTCAGAAGGCCAGCAAATTACTGTTTTCAAAAGACTGTCACAAAGATCAGTTAGCATTCGTCTATTGTGGTCCAAGAAAGTTGATTTGAATACATTAAATATATCTGCAATGGATCGTACTGATTCCAAGTTTCCCAGGAACCAGCAAGTCATTAGTAAGTCTTTATCTATTGCAATTTGTTGACGTCCCCCAATGCCAATTCTTCTTCTTAGTTTTTCTGCACCAGAAATTTGCTGGAGTATTTTTTCAAAAGTACCTCTTGTCATACGAAAGAATGATTTAAAATCATTTGGGAGATACTGAGGTACAGTGACCTCTGTATAGTTTTCTACCTTTGGTACATCATCTCTGCATCTGAAAAAAGCAACACAATATTGAAGAATGTTTTTTTTTTCAATTTGGTATTATTTTTAATTCCATCCAAAGGTAAAACAAGTAAATGATTCACATCACTGTCACAGAACAGCGGATCCAAATTTGGCAGTCAATAATTAAAATATTACGGAAGTTAAAATGCCATAGCGCTGTCAAAAATCAACATATTAAAAAGGAACAGTGTTATGCCCATCTAGTGTTCTGAACTCTTCATGTTTATTATTTTTATAATATTATAAAGAAGTTTCCTTCAAATAGTCTAGGCTGTTTTAGAGAACTAGTTCAATCATACACGAATTTGTTGATGGACAGCCTTGACAATGTCTATATATTCACTATATTTCATTCTTATTCCGTGTGATACTGCATGTTTGGGTGTGTGAAAGCAAACTAGTGAAATGAAAAGTCTTCCATTATAGTTTCCATTATATATTGAACATGTATATTATTACTTGCAAATAAATGTGAGCACGCATTTGTATAATCTTCAATAATATGAAGAAATAATCAGACGTTTACTAACTGCATTGCAATTGTAAATTTCCGAAATTTGTCCAATCCGAAATTATCTCAAGTTCATTTTTCGTCCGTTAAAAATGAAAATCTAGATGTGTATAGCACTTACACTGCTGCATATAGTGCTGATATTATTGGTATCGAATGACCTGTCTTTTCAACGACCATCCGTGTCTCATTTTCTTCGAAAAACAATTCATTGAAAACAATAGGTACAATATCCTGACAAGCGGCCATTTTGAATCTTCTAACTTCCGGCAGCTGTCCGTTCGATTACTTTTCTCTTCCGAGATCTTCTAAGGCGTCTCTTCTATTCTTAGAAGATCCCAAACGAACCGGCTATATCTGTATTTAAAATCGAATTGTAAACTTTATTCAACATATAAAATAATGATTAGTCATGCGGAGATAACTGAGTCAGGCAGTATTTGTATTGTACTTCTGCATAAACATGTATAAAATTTACATATAAGACACGTGCTCGCGCCCACGCCTTGTGTCGCACATGAAGACTTGAAATAAGCAATCTTTCAATTTGTCATGACCCAATGGCAAAATGTCAGTGGTAGTAAACATAAAAAACAACAACATTTGGTATGTATATAATATATACCATATCGAACCAAGTTAGCAAATTTTGCGTAAGTTATAGCTACACTGTGAAATGCATATTAAAAATCACTGCCATACTAAATTCAAAATGCACATTTTATAAAAGCAAAATTAATCAAAATAACATGAAATACTTATCTGAAAGACGAATTGGTGAACAGTTGAAACCAGCTGTGTTGAACTGTTGAAGCATTTCAAATACCGAGAGCAGTTTTAATAAGCGATGTTTCCACGTCAAATTTTAAACTTTAAATGCGCAGCCTTTACAATGTACGCACGAAAAACTCGTGCTTGGTAAACTTACGAAAACCAGTTTTATCAGAATGTTTTACCGTTTCACACGGATGAGTTTTGAGGCAGTTACACATATGCACCCGTCAAAAATTAAACGGGATTTATTTCTCAAAAGAAGATAAATCTACTTGTGTTGATAGAGTCTCGTGACGACAGATTTAATAACCGATACTCACAAAATAACCATTTTGATTTGGTTTTACGTCGCACCAACACAGTAGTCATATCGCAATTTTCCAGTTTTATTGGTGAAGGAAGACCTCAGTTACCCTTCCATTATTTCAGACACGAGCGGCCACTTGATTAGAACCACCACGTTCACTAAGCTTGCTGGATAGCTTTCTTACATATAATAATCCAATTTCCCTTGCGTGATTCAAACCTACGTCAGCGAGATACAAGTGGTTTGAAGTCAACGACCTTAACCACTAGGCCTCGGTCGCTATTCAAAATAAACCTTATCCATGTACCTTTTTATTCTGGAGTTTTAAAGAAGATCAATATATTAAATCATCATTATGAAAAAACAAGATCACGCCCTGTGTTAGAAAATCCACGGCCTCATTTTTACATTATCTGTTATGAGCAGACTCAATAACACCTAGTCTGCAATTTTCATATGATATTCTTTTTGCACTACTTTCGACGAAGAACTCTCGCCGGATTAAATTCTTCATAACTTCAGGTGTAAAGGGTTGTGTTGCAGTAAAAAGTTACCAGTGTTATGATATTGCTATCCGTTTGCATCGTGCGTTTACATTTGAACATTTTGAGCTTCATTTCTGGAACCACTGAACAAATTTCAACCGATTTTGGCATAAAGCATCTACTAGAGGTTTAGTGAAAAAATATGAAAATTGATCACCTGAGGGGCTGGGTTAAAACCATTAAAAATTAATGCAATCTTTAAAAATCTTCTTTTTTACTCATGGGCATCAAGCAGTCAAACTGATAGCATGATTGTTATAAGCATTGAGCCCTCTACAAAATTCTAAAATTCATAGTCCGATGGTCAGAGATTCTGGGCCTAGGGCGGAGCTCTGTTGTATATATAGTGAAAGTATTTTATTACTTAAAATCTTTAAAATCTTATCCTGGGTATTTAGGAAATAAAGTAAATAAATAGTAATGATGAGAGAGGATGTGTTTACCAAAATTGCGATTTTCATGGTCCAAGGCCCGTGAATTCTGTTCCCTTTTTAAGGGGGGGCCCTTTTAAAAAAAAATATGTAGTGGAAAAAGCATTTTTTCTTCGAAAAAACCTTCTCCTCTTTCTTTCCCCGGGACCTTTTTCACTAAAAATTTTCTTTTTTCCCTTTATTTGGAAAACAAGTCAATTTTTTTGGAAATTTTAAAATTTTCGGAAAAACCAAAAAATTTTTAAAATTTGTGTTCACTAAGAATTCCCCAAACAAATCTAAACCGGGAAAATCTGGATAAAATTAATCCAAATTTTGATGCTCGTATTTAGTTGGATCAAATTAAGGATCAATCCCACAAAACACTGAAAAATGGCTGAGTATGTGTCACAGCAGCGTCGGTTACGATACTTGAGTAGCCTACCATTTCATCGGCTGGTGTTTCGGGATCATTCGAACCCACTAGATAACTACAGCATTGAAGAAATCCGGGAACGTTATCGTTTCTTTCCTCAAACCAGCTTGAGGATAGTTGGTTTGGTTGATATGAGGAGGGAGACGAAATTTTCCCATGCACTGGCACCGCTTCTGGCAGTTCTTGTTTCTTTTGCAATTTTTGGCATCCAATGCGCATCATATTGTAATTGCACAAGTGTATGGGGTACAAGAGCGACAGTGTCTCGGGCCGTAAAATCATTTTGCCAGGCACTGTGTCATTTAATTAACCAGTTCGTGGTGTTCCCACGGGAAGACATAATACGCCAGACACAAAAACGATTTTACGCTGTCGCAGGTAAGACTATGTCAAGTAAAAGTTAGTAACCAATATAAACAAATTTATTGCATCCGGAAAGGGAGGTAATGGTTAAATCTATTTATAGTTTAAGGCTGAACACTGCTAAACAATTTCCGCCCAGAACATAATATAGGCTTGCTCGTATCGATTCATTCAGGGAATCATATGGAGCTAAATAAAGATGCATATGTTTGAAAATAAACATAAACATATACATGCCAAAGGAAGTCCTCTTTGTTTGTCAATGCTGTCCCTTTAAATTTCTCAAATAGGCGACTGTAACAATCGTTTATTAGCTTTATTACGTTTAACCTATGTTTCTCGGTCCAATTATGGGAGCCGCTCCATTTTGTAGAGGTGCAGACGGATAACAAACACAAGCGCCTCCAATTGAAGAGTCTTCCGGACGTCGCTTACGTACTTAACTATCGCGATCAATTGATCCTGACTTTCGGTTCATATGATCGCTATCATTTTTTGTTGAGTGAACACCAAATTTCGGCTCAGTATCATGTGAGTCAAAATATCAAATCAGCTGATCAATGATTCAGTTAAGCCGTTTACATAGTTATACCCCCACAAACAAAGTTTAGGGGAGAAGGGTATATAGGAGTCGGTTTTTCGGTTGGTCGGTTCGAACGTCCGTCAGTCGGTTAGTCGGTCTCCTTCATGTTTTCAGGACAATAATTAGGGTTTGGAATGAGATATTGTGATAAAACTTATATATATCAGTCTTATATAAAAAAACCTAGGTTAGTTTTCCATTTGGACCCCTTTGGATCAAGGTCAAGGTCACCATAACAAAAACTAGAATTAGATTTCCGTACAATATTTAAAGTTAGGAATGAGTTAGTGTAATCAAACTTGGTTTTTAGCAAGCTTATATAAAGGTCTTGGTTGGTATTGCATTTGTACCCCCAAAGGGTCAAGGTCAATGTCACCGTTACTAAAAATAGTAAAATGGTATCTGAACAAAAATCAGATTTAGGAATGAGATATTGTGACCGAAACGTGCTATAAAGCAAGCTTGTATCATAGTTTGGAGACCTTTCTGTTGAAAATGTGGCAGGGTTAAATCTTATACATATACATGCACAGTGCGTTAACTGGAGTGCGGGTATTAGTTACCCGCACTCCAGAGCATGCCCATTGATTGGCTCATTTTTACTGGGGTTTACATATTGTGACGGCAGAGAAAGGGAAAGTGACAGAAATATCATATTCAGATGTTCGTTCATTGGTTCATTTTTGATGGGGTTTCATATTGTGACAACAGGGAACGTGTTTTTATGTTTGACTATGATACAAAAGAGAAAGAACACCAAAACACTCGGTAATCTGATTAATACTCGGGGGCTACGCCCCCTCGTACAAATCAGATAACCTCGTGTTTCGGTGCTCTTTCTATTACTTATATGAAGACCCTAGTTTAACTTGAATTTTGACCCAAAGGTTACTTTAATAGAAAAATGTAATCAAACTTGGTATTTAGCAAGCACTTTTGAAGACCCCTTGCTCGATTTGTTTTTGAACCTCATTGGATCAAGAGTCACTGTTACTCAAAATAGAGAATGGTTTCTGAAGGATAACATTAGTTATTAGAAATATTTGTACACAGTTGTGATACTTCATGAATTATAGGTTGAGTTCAAATTTTGCTTCAGACCTCTTAAATTTCCAAAATGTCGCATGACGATATTAATCACCTTAAGTGATAGCTCTAGTTATAATAAGAAGTCATTAATACTGCGGAATGCATGGCCCCTTCTTATTTTATGGTTATGGCCCCAAGTAGATGATATAGTTTGCACAATATAATATCATACAAAATTTCATATAAGGGTAATATATTGAAATTAAAATATTTATGTGATGTTTTAAGTTTTTAATCAATGTATTTAAGTTATCTACGCAAAAGAGAAACATTTATAATCTGCTGTAGAATACTCAGGTAACATTAATGTTGAAGATTGAATACCTCTCATGCCGTTGCTAGGAGGCATGAAAAATGTTGCACTTTTACATTATCACTAATAAACAGACTCAATCAAATCGAGCCTGCAATACTTATGTATTGTTTTCACAACGTCCCGGGAAAGAAACCACTTGCTCGTCGACTGGATTTTCCGGCCTTCTCTTAACTTATAGTATATTTTTAAGGGGGCTCATATTTCACCTTTCTTTACACATTTAAGATGAACACAGAGGTTTTTTATCAGTGTGGTCATATTCTTCCAAGGTCCGATACTTGTGCTTGTGGTTTATGATGTATTTATAGGGATCAAGGGACGCAACTGCTGAAAACCGTTAATTAAGCCGGCGTCAGCGTCAAACTATGACTCTTTTGTTGCTACGGAAGGCACAAGTTTAATTGAGCAAGAGACGCTTATCCTGGCTGTTAATTATATTAAATGCCTGTAACACGATCTATATTAATACAGTATAAAATATACAAACGGCTGTTTCTGCACTGAGTAACTTCTTCTAAAACAAAAAAGAACAAATGAATAGCATTAGAAATGTAAATAAATATCTAATTTATCAAACAAAAACGGGTGTGGTCATGTGCATGTATAGTATCCAATCCAAGACCTGACTGTGTTAAATACGTCATTTCTCGATACTTTCACTCAATCTAATTAAGTAAAGCCCATATAATTGCCTAACGTTCAACACAGTCCTCAACTATTATGTAAAGTGGTATTCAGATAAAGTCAATTTCGAGTAAATTAAGTTTAACTGAGAATTTGTGAGATTAGGGAGGGGTTACCTTGAGGTGTTCTCAATAAAATAATACTGAATGCGAATACCATTTAAGTTTGAGTATTGAGTTTTATTCAATTTGTCTTACTCTAACTTACAATAAACAAACAACTATGTTGTGCATTGTAGCGAGGATATTTTATTACGAGATCGTTATAACAGGAGGAAATATCACAATGAGAAATACATATGTATAAAGCATATCACAATCAAAACTGTTGTACTATGTCCAAGATAAAATGTAAATTAAACAAAACTTAACAGGTTCGATCGTATATTCGTCACAGGAATACTGGCCGCCTGCGTAAAACC